CACACACACACAAAATACTCCTTTAAAAAAAAAAAAAAAAAACCCTTCCACCTGAACCTCACCCTACACTAAGAAATAAAAGGCCTACAATAAAGATTAAATGAGTTCACTTAGCTCGCCCAGCGGCGAGACCCCTTCCTTGTGATGTCGTCCAATACCCCAGGATTGACTTAGCTGGATGATGATAAGACCTCCTGGTTTGGCTCCACACCAGATCAGAGCAGCCAAGAGGAACAGAAGCAGGAGCCCAAGGTGGTGACTGCACCCACAACTAAAGCCCAGCCCAGGCTAAGAGGCACCCAGCCTCCCCTTCTTACACAGGAACACCTAACCGCCTGTCTTCGTCGCTGGCAGCCCTAAATGACTGAATGACACCATCCCTCCTAAAGGGTGCTGCCACAACCACTGAAAAGCTCTGCCCTCAGTTTGTTTGAGATACCTTTATTCAGTGTGCTGCTCCTCCACTGATTGCACATAGCTGTCCCTGATTACTTTGCCTCCTCTGATGAGTCTTGTCCAAGCACATCACATTATTATTATTTTAAAGTTTGTTCCATTTAAATATTTTGTTTTGACTTATTTTAAAAATGTAATCGCCAATCTAATTTATACAATTTAATCTGTCCAAAATGCTGTATAAAATATAAAAGCATGAAGAATGTGTCTAATAAAATCAAATTCTTACCTCAATGGAGCTGATGTTTTCAAAGTGACCACGGGTGAAAGCCAGAGACTCTGTACAACACGCTTGTGTTCTTCCAACAGCATGCTGCAAAACAACACAAAACAAAACAAAACAAAAAAAACAGTATGAATCAGAGTATACCATCTGCTGTAACTTGGAGAAGCACGGAACTGGGCAGCATGATGCCTCTTCTACTGTATAACCTTCCAAGAACAATTTTATCACAATTTCCCGAAAAAACCCTCACCGTGCCGGGGCACCCTGTCGAGATAAAACCCCGCAGAGGCAGCGCGAAAATGCCAACGACATGTCGCCACAAGCCTTCGGTTTACTTTAGATCGAAAAATCCGTGTAAAATATAATAAGCAAAAATCTTCACATGTAGTTTAATTCGTCCTCTCGCTAGAGGGACAGAACGGCGAAGACACGTCGCATGAATATGACGTAATGCACGTAACGATTTGACTGATTCGCACTTTCGTGTATTTTAAACGCAGAAAAATAATTAAAAACAACCGTACTTTATAACTCATATAAAACTTACAAAAAGATTAATACTTTAAAAAAGTTTTAATTTTCTATAAATAAATTGTGTTATGTATTATTATTATTATTATTATTATATTTAGGTGCACGGAATAATTTGTCGAATCTGCGCGTTCGAGAAATAACAACTCGCTGCTGTATTCAGGGTAAAGGTCGCAGTGGACTGGACTTCTTTTTAGCCTCGCTGCGAGTTGACACATTTATCAGCTCATTTCTGTTTAAAAGTTAAATCTTGACTGTGGAGGATTGTTGAACCGACGCCATGGCTCTTCTCAGAGGTACACAAACGTTTCAGTTCAGCTTTTATTATCAAACAGATCACAGGCTGACTATTTTCAGTAAACTGAAAATGGTCAGGATTTTTAGCATTGTGCCACATTTGCTGCATAGAATAACACGTTTGCAATCTATTTAGTTCATTTAGAAAGTTTTTGCTCAAATCTAAGTCCCAATGTGGGTGAAAGGTGGCAGGATGGTGTTTGGATTTTTTTTAAAGCTAATTTCCTGTAAATTTATTCAAAAATCCCACCGACATGCAGCTGTTTACTATATCTGTTATTACTAATATAATTATAAAGGAATTGATCCCAAGATACTTTTTAAATTATATGAATATTTGCACCAATACTTTCAAAGTATATTAACGATTTTATTAAATGTTCTGAACATTTAATGTAAGGTGTGTACTGTATTTTAGTAACCAGCTCCAACCAGTTTACTGCCTGTTTTAACCTTCTGCATTATATATATGATGAAAGTGACTGGTATGAGGAAACAATGTCATATTCTGATCATTCTTTACATCTATTTTTTAGTTCTTTGCACTTTGTTTTAGCTCATTTTTTTACACAGAAAAGTAGTGTCTACAAACTTGTGCATTACGCAATAGTAAACACTCTCCACAAACACAAGTTCGATGTTTATTTGGTGTTTGTCACAACCAAATGAAGCCCCACTTCTCTCCAGTGCGGGTCAAGGCGCCCTGCTCCTTTTGACATGAGTCACATGTAGATTACTGATTAGAAACTAAAAGACAAACCAGCCCAGTAGTTATAAACAAGAACCATACTGGATAGCTCTGGATTTTAAGTAATGTGCATTGCAACAAGTTCACATATTTTTTGCATTATTTCCTGACAAGTCAGGTAACTGATATGTTAAATGGAGATAAATAGTGGAAAAATGCTGTGATTGTTTTTATTCTTCTGACTGTAGTATTTACCTAGTACACTTCTTTTGAAAAAGAAGTGTAAATAAGTGTAAAGCATCTTCCTGTTTTTAAAGTGGTGGAAGCTTTTAATGATTCACAAAAATGTACCTTTTCTTTACAGGTGTTTTTATCGTAGCAGCTAAGCGCACTCCATTTGGTACATATGGCGGAGTGCTGAGGGATCACAGTGCAACAGATTTGGCTGAGCACGCAGCCAAAGCTGCCCTCGCTGCAGGGGGGTTGGCTCCAGAGATTGTCAACAGTGTCATCATGGGAAATGTCATGCAGGTAGTTCCATATATTCTCAAAGTGTTTGTTTTTTGTGGCTTTCGTCATTCATTTTAAACATCTTTTTATGTGTTTATATTTCATCAGAGTTCAGCAGATGCTCCATACATTGCTCGTCACGTCGGTCTGAGGTGTGGAGTTCCCATCCCGGTTCCTGCTCTCACCGTGAACAGACTGTGTGGTTCTGGTTTTCAGTCCATCATCAGCGGCGCTCATGTAAGTTTTCTCCAAATCCTTCCTGGTGCAGCTGTTTCAAATTAGCGTTTTTGCAACAAACGATTTTATCATCTTGTTTATGTGTTGTTTATGTTCCTCACAAAAAAAAACTATGTCAAATAATAAATGTATAAATACACCTACACTAAAAATATATTCCTGAAGGAATACAAATGTAGAAAAATATTGTTTTGTATAGATTTGTTTGTGCGCACTTTATAGTCTAATACAAACCATTACAAACATTTTTTAAGTAAACTTTATGTGAAAGGTAATATGACAAAACTGCTCTAGATGTTAGCTCAATTAAATAAATAATTTCTTTATATATAAAGTTTGATTGATGCACATTTTTCTGAAAATGTGAAGAAAAACCTCACTAGTTTTGTTATGATGACTAATTTTTCACCACTAAAGTGCCCCCACACACACACACATACACACAAAAGAGGACATTTCTATACAGGAGGCCTTAGCCAAGATGTTTTTAATCATTAGTAAAAGTTCAAAATTTCACATATAATTACTTTAATCCTCCAATTTTGTTTGTCATTCTAAGAAATTCACCTTTGGTCACTTTGTGTATTTTCAGGAGATTTGTCTCAAGGAGTCAGAGGTGGTCCTGTGCGGAGGATCAGAGAGTATGAGCCAGGCTCCTTATGCTGTTCGTAACATCCGCTTTGGAACAAAATTTGGAGTCGACCTTAAGGTTTGTGTTTCTCTGTTTAAGATCTTTAATTACTTGTTGCATAAACAACAAAAAGAGGCATGTGAAAGTCTCAAAGACAATCATATTATTCTGTAAACAAAGATACAACCCAGAAAGCTTTTCTTATTTGCCTGACAGCTGGAGGACACTTTGTGGGCGGGTCTAACCGATCTGCAAATTAAGACTCCAATGGGAATCACAGCAGAGAACCTGGCAGAGAAATACCAGATAACACGAGAGGACTGCGACAACTATGCATACCAGACACAGCAAAGGTGGAAAGCAGGTGAGCAGACTACTTGTTTTGATATTTTTGATATATGCCACTTTCCAGTAACATTATTTTGTGAGCACAAAGCTGCAACTCGGTTATACAAAGGTTATACAAGGTTATACAAAATAAACTGAAGCTTTTTTATCTTACAGCTCATGATGGGGGTCGCTTTACGGCTGAAATGGCTCCTATTGAAGTGAAAGCTAAAAAAGGCAAAGTGTCCATGGCTCAGGATGAACACCCTCGGCCTCAGACTACACTGGAACAGATGGCCAAACTACCTACTGTCTTCAAGAAGGGAGGGACCGTCACCGCTGCTAATGCTTCGGTCAGCCCATACACAGCTTAAGTAGCCACTGTTGCAGGTTTGGTGTTTTTATTTTAATAAATGCATCAACTGAGCGTCAGTGGAAAAAGTCCCAGTGTATGTTGCTACAGTTGGAATGAACAGCATGATATAATTGTCAGTAAACATCATGCAACTGCTTCAATTTTATTGAGAGGAGTAGTCTACTTTTCCTAATCTAAGACTTTTGGTTCTCCAGGGTGTCTCTGATGGAGCTGCTGCTCTTGTGATCACAAGTGAAGATGCGCTAAAGGAACACAAGCTCACTCCACTCGCCAGAATTGTGGCCTATCATGTTTCAGGCTGTGACCCGAGCATTATGGGCATTGGTGAGAAATACCACAGTTATAAAAATGTGTCTTAGCCGGTTTGAATTTAACCAAATGTGTGATTAAAGAGACCTGAATATTGTTATTATTTTGAATCATCTTAGGTCCAGTACCGGCAGTTACAGAAGCTCTTAAAAAAGCCGGCCTGTCCCTGAATGACATGGATCTTGTTGAGGTTTGTTTTTACTGTTAACGACTGCCTCAGTCTGTTTTAACTTGGTTCGTACGTTGGAATAAGCACTCAGCATTCACTCTAGCATTTGAAAGTACAGTATCTACAACCCCTCTATTAATATTATTTCAATGTGTTTTATAGTCTGCAATGGCTGAAATGCATTAGCAGATAAATATCCTTAAAAATGAACGTCCCAGCTTCTCTAAAGAATACATATTGCCCACCAATTTTCACGCCAGTTTTTAAACTAAGGTCATTTATGATAAGAAGGGATGAAACCGTAGCTGCTTTGAATAAATCTTGTAAATGATGTTATGCACGATCTCATGTGATATTTCAAGATCTTCCATAATTTGGTAGCACTGGAAGTACGTGTTGAGGATGAGTCTCAACATCTGTAAAACTGACTGAGCCATTTTTTGTGTGTGCTAAGGTTAATAAGCTGTGGTGACCATGGTGAATTTGGTTAACAAAAGTTAACAAGTTGCTGATGAACATCTAATGATTACTTTCTGAGACTTCCCCTAAAATCCATCCGGTGGTTCATGAGATATTTTGATAACAGTCAAACAAAATTGATGCAAATAGTTAATACCAAAGTTTTATGCAAAGATGTCACACAATGTGTAGCGTGCCGCTCAGAGTATGTGTTGGGAATGACTCCTAGATACTACTACAAGTTAAGTTTGAGTTAAGAGTCATTTGTATGATGGCTACAATGGATTATCTGTGGCAGCCATATTGATTAACTGTAAATTAACGAGTTGTAGATGTATACACAAATATTACTTTATCAAAGTTTTATTAAAATCGTTCTAGTGGTTCATGCGATATTTTCCTAACAGACTTACAGACTTGATTTTAATAGTTAACGGCAAAGTTTGTATGTTTGGATGTATTCATTAGTGAATATTTAATCATGTCCATGTCTGTTGCTGTTCTCAGGTGAATGAAGCTTTTGCTCCTCAGTACCTGGCTGTTGCCAAGGCTCTTGGACTGGATCCAGAGAAAAGCAATGTTGACGGTGGAGCTATTGCCCTCGGACATCCGCTTGGTGCCTCTGGAGCACGTATCACTGCTCACCTGGTACATGAGCTCAGGTGAATGTCATTAACTATAACTACACTTGTAAACTAATGTTACACAACTTTGTGAAGTTGTTTTTCGATAACAAACCTTGTTCCTCACAGACGTCGAGGAGGCAAATACGCCGTTGGGTCCGCCTGTATTGGAGGAGGCCAAGGGATCGCCATCATCCTCCAAAACTGCTGAACAACAAAGCTGATGGTTGGAGAAGGCTTCCTGAATGTCCTGCACACAAACCGTCCACTGATGTGAAATAATGCAAGCTCATGTCATTTTTTCTAGAACATGATGTTTTAATAAAACACAGGTCTCCATGTCAAAAAAGCATTACTAATCTATCTTTTGCCCTGTACTTGGTATGTGATTTCTACGAGTTAAATTGATTCACGTGACAAAACATTTACCTCTACAGCAGCTTTGGCAGCTCTAGGAAGATAAAGGACTGACTTTAGACTGCATCTCTCATTGCACAAATGTTAAGAACCCTGATTTTCATGTGCCTAAAATACAGTGGTGGGTCACTGGTTAAGCTGACGTGCAGTAACTTATTCAAATAAACTGTCTGCCATGGAATGCTCTTGATCACTCCATTTTCAGGGTTTACTGTTGTCAGAGCCAAGACACTTGTATGAACTGATTTTATACATCTGTAATAAAGAATCAAAAGTAAAAAGATCAACAATGGCACAGTCCTGTTTGGATGTTTTTATTATCACACCCTGTCATTTTAATTTTTGTAAGTCATTATTTGTTTATTTCAAGACAAATTTAATTGTGAAATAACATGACTGTTTAATTTATTTATAGTTAGCAAATGTATTCACGGCTGCCCGTCGTATGTGTTTAATGTTAGCAAAATATGTCAGACCGCTGGACAGGTTTTATTACTCTTTGCAGAAAGTATTCACTAGGTATGTAATACTTCTAAGAGATAAACTTTTAAAGTCAACCCAGTTCAAGATGGCAGTCACTACAAATTACATTACCAACACAAAAATGGCTTGTATTCAGTCCATTTTACAGATAAGCTAAACTACATATGGTTGTCGGCGAAAAAAATTCATGACACAACAAATATACTGCACCTTGTGGAGCATATTTACATAAAACTTATGAATAACTTGTTTGTTAGCAAAATATTTCATTAGCACATGAGACATTTTAATGAAACAAAATAATCATTGGATGGACCATTCCAACTCAAAATGGTTGCCAGCTCATTCAGTTGTACAGAAATTGAGTTAAGATTTGATGTGGTAGTAGCTGACTCATCCTCTGCACATTTACTATGACCATGATGTATGTTATTATTATTTTTAGGAAAAAACATTCTCACTGTTAATTAGCATATTTCACAAACATTTTCATTAAAGCAGCATGAAATAAAATAAAATGACTGCTTAAAACTAATGAATCTATTATAAGAAATAATAATGTAATATCAATCAAAAGTCTTTGAAAACAAAAAAAAAACTGTGTAAAAAAAACAAAAAAACAGTTATTGGACTACAATTACCATCACGCTTGTCCAAACGGACGCAAAGACGTCAACGTCATCGTACAACGTGCTTATATACGTAACATCCCCGGATGTCGGTCTTTTTTTCATAGCAAAGGTAAGAGCCTTGCTGTCGCATAGCTAAAGAAATAAACATCTGCTTTAATCTGTCGTACAGAATAAAAACTGCAACGTCCAAATGTCCCGAATCGAAACTTTATATTTAGATGATACGTTAGATCGCGTTATTACAAAGATATACCCAATATGTTTCATTAATAATGAACAGTTAGTGCTTCGACGCTTGTAGGCCGCCGGCTAGCCACAATCAGTGCTCCTCGTCAGCCACACGCTGTTAATAGAAACATCTTTTTGCATTTGCTCTCCTTCGTTTGACTGTAATGTTTAGTTGTCATGTATCGTTGTTGTAATGCACGACTTCTAAATCTCAGAAATGTGCGGCTAAGCGGCTCTGCTAAGGTGTTGCTAACGTATGCTGCTAGTGAATTCATAGCTCCTGACTATTCATTCAAAATTACTTGAACTCTAGTTATCTCAGTGACTTTTGTTGCTGCTGTGGGCAATTTGGAGAGACTTATCAAATTTGTAGTATTTTGTATTTAGCCTTTATAATAAATTACTGCTAAAAGCTTGAAACCAGCCCCAAAATTAACCTTAAAATGAATATCCTGATGCATGCTCAATAATCCAGGTAGAAAAATCTAAAAAAGTTAAATCTGGTCCTCTGGACATTCAAAAAAACAAAACAAAGCAAATCTTAAAATGAATATAAAATATACTATAAAATGAATAATGTTTGATAACTGCATGTCTGAAGATGTTTTATAAATAATACAGCAATCACATCTATGAACATCCACCTGTTTTTTTTTTTCAGATGGCAGAGGGAGACAAGAAAAAAGCTGCCAAGAAGAAGCATGCGAGCCGGAACCCGGTTCTGGCCCGGGGCATTGGCCGCTATTCCCGTTCTGCTATGTACGCCCGCCGGGCCATGTACAAGAGGAAAACCAAGACCACCAAGACCAAGGTATAGCCCAGTTCGTGATACTGGTCTGAATGCATGCCACAGCACAGTGTCATATCATAATTTGCTCCTGTTATAGATTGAGAAAAAGATCACGACCAGACCCAGGGCTACTATTGTCAAGACCGTTGGAGGTGACAAGAATGGAGGCACCCGTGTTGTCAAGCTACGCAAGATGGTGAGTGATTGAAAGTTTCAAACGTCTACTCGTTTTTTTATCTACTCTAAAGCCCGACCATGAAATCTGGCCCTTTGGAGCTCAAGATCTTTTACAGTTTTAGTTTTGATTTTTAGCTCCTGCTTTCTTTATCCTTCCTCTAGTCCTTGTGGCAGCCTATGGTGTAGTGTGGACTATTAAAACATTTATTAGAGTAGGTAAGTGGTGGACAAAATAAATCATGTCCCTAAACAACAACAAGGCCTTGATTGGAGTTTGGATTATGTGCCAAGAGTTTTTCAAATAATGGCTCATCACCTTGTTAATGCCAAAATACTGATTTATGTAAAATTACAGTTACCGGTAAAAAAAAAAAAAAAAAAAAGTGTTTTTATAATAATAATAATCATTTTATTTAAAAAGTGCCTTTCATGACACCCAAGGACACTTTACAGTAAGAACAGATTCTTGGTAACAAGGTGCCTAAAGATCCAAGATAGCGTTTCTTGGATTCCTGTTGCGTGTAGACGACACTAGTTTATAACTTTAGTTTAGAAGCATTTTTATGCTTGAATATGTCGGACTTGGGTGACATTCTTCTGATTTAGGTTGGATTGAGTACTGAAGGGCTGAAGAAAAACAATGAAAGCCTGGAGAACTGATGATTAAGACCACTTTAAATGATGGCAATTCAAAAGTTTGGTTTCTTAAAAGCAGAATATATAAAAATGAGGTATTACTGAAAGCATTTACGCAGTACTGCAACTTGTGCAAACTGTTAGGGGTGTATAAGGATGTCACATTTCTGACTGACACAGGCACATATAGTTGCTTGCATGGGGAAGGCTGGTGTTAAGCATTTTAGATGTATGAAGTAAAGAAAACTGAAGGCAGTGTCGAAATAGTTTATATTTTAGGTAAAATATGTAAAAAGTGGAACTTCCAGGGAGGCGGAAAAGAAAGACCATAGGGAATGTTCATGGCTGAGGGAATGGGAAGATGGAGGTTGGTGTCGACAGAACGATGCTGGGAATTCGAAAAAAAGGTTTTAAAAACAAGTAAACAACTGGACTTGTATTTTGTAACTGAAGTTTTTCTTCCTATCTGGGAGGCTTTTATCAAATCAAAGAATGGACTTGATGATTAATATTTTTTGTATTGATAAAGCCTCCCAAGAGTTTTTGGATTCACCATGTCCTGAGTGACAGAATCTTCACCAGCATGCTGGGGATTGAGTGAGATGAAGGCGGACGAAAGTGGAAGCAGCTAAAACATCCTGTCAGCCTTGCCATCTCAGTAGCAGAAATTACCACCCTGGCTACTTGAGAAAACAAATCACTGCTTCTGACTCGCTGTCCAGAGTTTAATGTATAGTTCATAAATGATCTGTAAGTTTTAGGAACATCTCTTAATGTAGCTGCTAAATCTTGAGTTCATCGTCATACAAGTTAGCAAGCTTGTGAGCTGTGGTGTCAGCACAGTTACTGAAACATTCTCCAGCACGTCAACACTTAGCAATTTTAAATGTCCATGTCAGTGTAGCTTCAACAATCATTAATTTATGTTGTCCTCCTTGTAGCCCCGCTACTATCCCACAGAGGATGTTCCTCGTAAACTGAAGAGCCACGGAATTAAGCCCTTCAGCCAGCACAAGAGGAATCTGCGCGCCTCCATCACACCTGGAACGGTCCTCATTCTGCTCACTGGACGTCACCGTGGAAAGGTAACGGCTATGGACAATTTCTCATAGTCTGAATGTTGAGGTGCAGAAATGACCCAACACAAAGCATAGGTTGATCATCTAAATTGGGCTTCATAATTCTTTGCGTGCATATAAAGATCAGCCCTGTGACCAGTGGTCAAGATTTACTTCTTTAAAGATTCACAAGGAATGTCTTCACTGTGCGCCTTTTACAGAACTAATTATTTTAATACATGAAACACACAACTTATCTGCATTGTGATCTAAAGGCATGACCATTAGCTAAGCAGCAACAGTCGGCTCCCTTTTAACACAGCCATACATGTTTATGAAAGCTTTCAATTCCTTCACAAAAGTCGAATGTAAAATTTACATTAAGCACAATTTGTGTTTGCAAAAACTAATTTGTAACTTGTTTCATACCTTTCTGTCAAAGTAGGACACCCTGTTTTATTTTAGGAAAATTTGGGAAAAGCTAAAAGGCACTTTGTGGAAAGCACAGTTTATCATCACAATATTAGATACATTGATTCTCAAGTTGCTCTTAAGAATCGGATGCAACACCCATTGAAAAATGTATAAGAGAAAGATTGTACATCCTGGCACTTCAGTGTTGTACAATCTTTACAAACAACGCAGGGTTGTATAAAACTTTAAACTCCGTTACATTTACCGTGGAGTTGACATGAAGACGAGACACAACTACAATCTAGCTCACTCAGGACAGCAGACATTGTTTCTCTCTCCCACTCACATTCTGGATGAGCAAGTTTTAGAAGGAAATGTTCCCACACACACTTTGAGATGACAGCTGACCTAAAAAAAAAAATGTTTTGGTTTCAAACTAACAAGCGGGGAACTGTTTCTATAAATTTAGGACATGTCCAGTAGATTAGACCCGCAAACACGAGGCCACCTTTGTGGCATGCGAGTATTTCTGCATGCGTCACTTGTCAAACAGGCTGAAGGTCTTGTGTATGTAACTTTTATTCTTTCATGCAAAATGTTCTCCAAAAGATTTAAATAAAAATTGTTTTCCAGCGTGTGGTGTTCCTGAAGCAGCTCTCAACTGGGCTCTTGTTGGTCACTGGTGAGGATGACTTCTTTCTTTCTTAATTACCTAAAATATCTTGTTTTTTATGCCAATGTTTTTTATTTTATTTTTATTCTGTTTTTCAGGCCCTCTAACCGTGAACAGAGTCCCCCTGCGCAGGGCCCACCAGAAATTTGTCATTGCTACAAACACCAAAATTGACATCTCTGGTGTCAAAATCCCTAAAACCCTCAACGACACTTACTTCAAGAAGAAGAAGCTGAGGAGGCCTCGTCACCAGGAGGGAGAGATCTTTGATACAGAGAAAGAGGTAACTTGAATCTCAAAAGATATATATATTTATAAAATATAAAGTTATAATGCAGTAGAAAGTGGGCTGCTGGTTTAATGACTGGTTTTCTTTGTTTATCTGTAGAAGTACCAGCTGACAGAGCAAAGGAAGGAGGACCAGAAAGCTGTTGACTCTCAGCTCCTGCCCCTCATCAAGAAAGAACCTCATCTGAAAGGATACCTGCGCTCCTCCTTCTTCCTGTCAAATGGCGTCTTTCCACACAAGCTGGTTTTCTAAATGTTAATAAAGAGTACCAACATCTTAAGCCATCAAATGACTATATTTTTATTCCTTAGGCTTGCTTGGTACACCTTTTCAGGGTGCGTTTCACAACGGATCTTGAAATTGAGTAATCAGAAACGTATAAAAAGACCAGTGAGTATCTTAAGAATGTTCCAGAGAAGAGCTAATTATTTCAATTAAAGGGAAATCAAAACCTCGACCATTTAGTATTCTGGACTGACTCAGGAGAAAAGTTCTCTTACTGTGACTGTAGTAAGTCACTCGATAGTTCCAGTAGTTCGGACTCGAGTAGATGAAACAAGGGTAAGAAAATACCTTGTAAAAACATCACGTGGTTGTAAATTGTCCTGGCTGGTTTGTCCACTTTTTATTCTAAACAATCCCATCTATAGGGTTAAGTATATATTTTGGAGTCTGATTTTAGTTTTGTATGATGAACCAGTTGTTACTGCAAGTTTAAATCCTGACAACACTCTAGGCATGTGGACCGTGTGTTTCACTCGTTCATTTGTAGATTTTCTCCAGGAAACTCCAGTTTCCTTTCATACTACAAAACGGCTAACGGGCAACTAAATAGAATAAGCATGGATGTCTCATATGGCCCTTTGATGGACAGGGTTTTTTTTTTTTTTTTCCTTTGGACAGGTGATCTGTCCAGTGTGTACAATAACCACTGAAGAACTGGGTAAAGAAGATTGATGTAGGAAGCTTGTGACGATATGTGATTAGTCTTTGCTGAATTTCCTCACAACCCTGAACAAGACGAATCAATGTGGTTCATTCAGGGTACCCACCTAAATTGTGGGAAACCTGAAAACTTTCTAGACGGGGAAATCTGAACTTGATAACAATAAAGAATCTTGGAAAAACGGGTAATTTAAGCACTGATCTACTGGTTAAAAGATCTTGAGGTTTTGATGTGTACATGTATTAATGCTAGTATTCTAGTATCGTTGAAACCAGCTATTTGGAAGTACAAGTCCGTGTGTCCTCTTGCGCTGGTCCCATGTCCAGGTAAATGGTGAGGGTTGTTTCAGGAAAGACAACCAATGTAAAACAATTGCCAAAACTAATATGAGAGTTCATGTAAGCACCACCATTCCGGATCAGTCGAGACCTGGGCTATGAACCGCCACCCGTGCAGCTGACACACGGTGCCAATGGAAATTGTGCTACTGTTAGTCGAAGACTATGAGAAGGGAAACGTGTCAGATGGAGAAAAGTCAAGAATCTAGAACTGAGGGTGGCAACTACTGGTAAATGTGGGGACAATGACAGGCAAAGTTAAGAGAGCTGGCTGACATGATGCAAAGAAGGAAGGTAGATGTTTGTGTCCAAGAGAGAAAGTGGAAGAGCAGCAAGGCTTGCAACATTGGAGCAGGTTTAAAACTGTTTTACCATGGTGTGGAAAAAAAAATCGAGTAGGGTGGTGAGACAGCCAAAAGGAGTACATCGTTTATTTTTTTAAAGGTGAATTTTGGTTCGTTGGACTGAGTATATTTAGGTACGTAATTATATTCTACAACACCAAATACCTACAGTGTAACCAAGCTACCTGGTAACACTTGGAATAATTAGTATAATTTCATCTTTGGGTAAAATCTCGTCCAAATAAATTCTCTTGAACAAAATTACTACAGTAGACAGTGAACATTGACAGCTTAATGGCTAAACTTTATTAAAAAACTGACAAGTAATGTAACAAGACAAAAATAAATACGCGTTTCATCTCTTTAACATGGCCACGGTTATTTTACTCTTCAAAACAAAGAATGCAGCACAGAAAAAGGCAGAGGCCCCTTGCCAAGGAATGATAGGTGCCTTTAGTGGAGTCCGTCAGTACTGTATGGTCAGCTGGGTTCATGGGGGGAGCCTTCCTTCAACCAGACTTGAACAGCAGAATAGCCACCTGACCCAAGTAAAAATAAATAAAATGCTTGGTCTCATGGGTTACGTAGCTGCCAAAGTTCCTCCCGACGATGCAGTGCCACGTTGGGTTATATTTCTTATCAAACTCCTATGAGAGACAAAAAAAATTTGATGATAAAAATAAACAGAAACATTAAAAGAATTACATTTTAATCCCAGGAAACTATACGGTCATTGTTGAAAGGAAAAAAAAATTGACTAGATTATGTTTCATTATTTAAAAAATGTAAAAGCTACATCACAATGTTTTCCTTAGACTAAGTCAGGGGTGTCAAACTCACTTATAGAGGGGGGCCAAAATTAAAACCTTCTTCAAACTAAGGGCTGCTTTCAACATTAACTCAACATGTTTTCTTGGTTGCAGGTTCCTCAACAACTGTTTGATTGCTCTCATTTGACATTCTCTGTTGCACTTTTGACATCATAATCAAAGATTAATGAAAAAAGGTAAGCGATTAAAGTATTTTTACATTTAAAATAGCATCTTGGGGCCAGATAAGATGTCAGCGAGGGCCACTTTTGGCCCCCGGGGCCTTGAGTTTGACACATGGACTAAGTGGAGGAAATTTTCAAGTGCGTTTCATTACAGGACCATGCCCCATGAATTCACAGCAATGGGAACATGTTTCAGTTAGGGGTGCTGTGAGCATGTGTGAATTTGTATCACCCTAAATAGTTAAATAAATAAATAAATATCAAACCCAAATATATGCAATTCTATTCATTTTAAATACAGACACCAATACATTTAAACAAACTATCTAAAATTGCAACTATCATCCCAACTGTTTTGCAGGTTTTAAGTAGTTAAATTTGGCACACAGGTGAACAATAACAGTATTGTTTAATATCACAATTACAAAACTAATTTTTTTATGAATCAAAATGTTTAGTCATTCTTGTCCTCTGACATCCAACAAGGGGTACTGCTGCCCCTCTACACCCCTAGTTCCAGATGAATCATCCTTTTATAAGTGCATATCGCTGAACCTGGAGATATAAAAGGATCCTGAACTTGAGCTGCATGATGTGAGATGAAACTTGTGTTTTTAACCGTTGTCCTTTAGTGTATTGCTAAAGACAATTCATCAAGCTAAAGTACTGTCTTCTCATTCATGCTAGAAAAAAATAGAAGAAGAAAAATGCAATTATCTAAACATCCAGTTACTTTAAACTGTGCCTACGCTTTTATGCGTGGTGGTTAGGAAATGCCACCATGGAGCTAAAATGTCAGGATGTGGACTCTGTAGTACAGTCGGTCCAAAGGCATTAAATACTAAAAGATGCTCAGGGTGTTAAAGTGATAAAACTGCATCACATTTCTGTCATAATACATGGGGCTGGGTTGACCTTCGTGAACACGTTGCTTCGGTTTTACCTTCTTGATGTGTGCAGCAATGTCTTTCTCGATGTTGTACTTCTCCAGGGCCTGTGTGGCACACTCCACGGCGTCCTGCTGCATGTCCTCCGACATGTCAGCGTTTTTGATCACTGGCTTTCTGTCAGACATGGTTGCCCTGGGTAACCAAAACACAGAATTCATCACTTGTGCAGGCACTCATACACAATGAGGCTGAGCATCATCATCATTAACTGATTTGCTGTATAAACGGTCAAATAAACAGCTGCAGGTTGGCGACGTTATTACGTAATTACGACTACATAATGTTTGAACTAGCCTTTTCTACCCATGTTACATAACTTCCATTGGAGGCAGGCTGGATGAACGGTGCTCTGCGTAGTTTCTATGGATACGCAAGACATTTAATATTAACTTCTCATTTTTCACCAAGATGCCAACAAGAGTCCCGTGAGAACTGGCTGCAAAAATCAAACGTCATCACGTGACTAATTAACAATACACAGCTGGGAAAAAAAAAAGACCCGACTTGTTTTAGCGTGCCGAAAATATACGCTTTTAAATCTATAATGGAGTAATAATAATATATAATTTAAGAATCATGAGAAAATGTGCTTCTTTAAAACAACTTTCCATGTTGTGATGGCGAGCTGTTGAGCACAATAACTAGCTGCTCGTCATTCAACGCGAAAACAATGGAGAAAAGAAACAACGTTTACCAGTGAACACCGATAGTGTAAATAAATGTTTAAGGAATCAAATATGATTTCCTGCAAGAAAAAAGCGGGCAATTTACCTTAAAATGTGGCGTATCGTACGGCAGTATTTTAAATAGATTGAGTGTTCCTGGAGCGACAACTCCCGCGAAGTGGTTAACACAAAAGTAATGTGGGTGTGTAACGGCAGGAGACTGCTGCCTCGGCGTGATCCTATTGGTCAGTACTGACTCACCGAGCGCGACCATTGGGCAGTTTAGGCCAGTCTTTCCGGTGTTTTTGCTAGCATTTTATTTCGACCCATCATGCATTGCAACAAGCTGTTGCTGGAGCAACCTATATAAATAACTCGGTCCCTAGCTACAGCATTATTCAGCACAACGGAATAAAAAAATATATGCATATTTCAGTGGCGCCTCGGATGTCACCAAGCACACAAGTGATGTGTATTTGTCGTAGTTTTTTGTGCATACCAGTAAAACTGTAACAATAATTACTAAGAGAACAGCTGCATTGTACATCTTATTACTAAAAGCAAAAACTGTGGTAAATGCTTGTTTTTGTACCTTATGGGTATTAGAAATTGAAACATAAAGTTTTTGTGCTTACTAACCAAATATATAGTTGTAACATATTCCTTAAGGCACATGAGGCATTCAGCTGAGGTGATGGTAATATTGACAAATGAACAGGTCTGAAAGGTGGAAAATGATAAGGAAAACTTAAAACGTTTATTTCACTCACACATAAAGTTTGCAGTTACAATGAACAATCCCACACATTTTTTCCTTAAATTTATTCTGATATACTTGCAATGATCCAAACACAAAACTGAAGTACTTCAACTTCTAGTATTTAAGTCTTACTTTTCACTTTATCTACTTCTTTATAAATCCCCCTAAAAAGCAATGAAGATATGACAATAGCTTCAATCAATCATGTACACTCAATGGGCAAAACATATTGACTGAATTGTTTATAACAGTTATGAAAAGGACACAAATATTTCAGCATTTTTAAGCAGTTTGCCCAAAGAATAAATACCTATTATAAAATACTAAAAATACCACTGTACATGAAACAAGCAAACAAAACATCTGTAGGTATAGGGTGTGTTAAAGAGCACCTTCATTCTGGAAAAACATTAGATGTTGTCATGATTCAGGATAAACAAAAAATGTAACAGAGGACATCCCGATTTTAAAAATGGCTTCTGTAAGTTTTTGGCACAATTAAAGCAAAATATGCATGTGAGGTAACATATATTAAGTGTTGACATGATTTACAAAATTAAAAAACAAGATGAAGTATGTTTGCAAGATTACATGAATGTGAACTTTATAAATAAAGCACATACTTTGTTCAAAATGTGAAAACAATGCTCAACACAAATAAATATCACTTTCACAGTTATTTTCTCCTCAGCGTTATGAATGAATGGGTAAAAACTAACACACCAACAAACTTCTTAAATCAGTTTTGTAGAACAGCTGAATGGCTTTACTCGCTGCGATCCTTTGGCTCTCTGTATTTGTACTGGATGTAGTCAAAGATGTCTTTCTCACTGTCCACCAGCAGAGGCTCCCCTGCCACTCCTACAACAGAGTTGTTAAAAAAAAATGCAATAAATAAACATTTAAAGCTGAAAGAAAAACAAAAACAAACAGTGTCTATTGTCTCATTAATGCAGACTTGAGCAGTTCTCAGATTTTATTTAGGTTTGCCTGAGACTCACCAGTGACACCAAGTGGTCTTATAGTGTACTCATTAAGAGTGAAGCCCTTCTCCAGAGCATGAGTCCTCATATTTTTATTAAAGATGTCACTTCCAGTAAAATACAGGACTCCACAGTAGTACTGGTCATTGGGAATTAACCTTTTGAAAAAAGGAAAGTTATTACACTGAAAATAAAAACTACCGGTACATTTTAAAATACTACACAGAAGAGCAAACACTTCATTGCTTATGCAGGATATGGAAATGCCAATAATTAGGCCAGTTTAGTACAGAGAGTAAAAAATGCTTTTTTTTTTTTGACAGTTAAAATTTTATTCAATGGAAGTCTACATTACACAAACAATATCAATTATTTTGTAGCAAAATAGTGCAAACAAATATGTGTGATTAATATCTTGATAAATCTGAACTGCAAAATCAACCTTATATCAATACGCCTGTGAAGATGTTCTTCCTCTTCCTCGTCATCGCTTTGCTGCAGCTGGCAAACCCCCTTGAGAAACAGAATCCAGGACACTAAGAAAAGTCATGTGCTACAGAGGACGGGTGTAGTTACTACAGTAACTGCATTATCAACCACGACATCAGCAGACGATTCTATAATGAATGAAAACAGGCAGAGGCCTCACCATGAACTTAGTGTCTCCTTTGGACAGAGTGTCGGTCACAAACCCAATGGATTCCAAATGGTCGACCACAGCATGAAGGAGTTTGGGCTAGAAAACAAAAACAGAGTTAAATGAGTTAAGCAGAGACATTTTATACCATAACTATTTATTTTAGGATAAGCAGTAGAACAATAACAGTAGAAAAATATCAGAAATGCAGATGCCAGGAAAAAGACAAAGAGGAGCTATATGGATGAAGATAGAGAGGACATGGAGGTAGCTGGAGTGAGGACAGAGGATGCAGAGGACGGAGTGAGATGGAGGATGACGACTCGCTGTGGCGACCCCTGAAGAGGGAAAAGCTGAAAGAAGACGACGACTCAACAGTAGAAATGTAAGCCTAACCTGCTTTTCTGTTTGAGAGGTGTATTCTGGGTGCGTCAGCAAAATATCAATATCACCACTCGATGCTGCGCCTGGAAATTATTAATGGGATTAAAAGAGGCTGAGCTCCCATCTTAAATAACAAACTAGGTACAATTTATTAGTAAGGATTACCTCTCCGGTAGCTTCCACAGATTGTTCCAATATATTCTGTATCAATTTTTTCCAGCTCTTCAAGAACAAGAACCTACAAACAAACAAAAAACGTGCAAATAAACTAGCATCATTGAAAGAAATATAGAATAACAATGAAAACATTAGAAGATAGATCTGAAGGCAGAATTACCTCCATTTTTTCCATTTCAGCTCTTGGGATTCTTTTCTCAAATTCTTCAAAGTACCTAAATGCAGCAAAGTAAACTAGTATGTTTTATTTAGTCTTTAAACAAAGATAACATAAAACACCTGAAATATAAAAAAAAACACTCAAGAGTTTTCAGTAAAACTTACTTGAGCCCAATCTTTTGATGATGGTTTAACTTGTGCTCAACCTTTTTCAAATCTGCAAAAAAAGTAAATAATTAAAATAATGTGCTCACTAAAACTGATACAAAAACGATTTGAATCTCAAGTTCAAAGTCATTTTCATGTGTATATAATGTATTAAGAGTTAAATGAATTACAAACCATCCAGAGTTTTCACTCCTTCATCAAAGAACTTCCTGGCAGCAGCAGGGCTAAAGACAAAACCCAAGATACATTTGTGTTATGTGCAAAAAGAAAAATTATGTGAAAACACGAGTCTTGTGGTCTCACAGTTAACTGGGGTATCCAGTCAACAAGTATATCTGGAAGTTTTGTGGTCACAAAGCATTTCACTGTAAACATCCACATAAGCCTTTTAATTTAACTGCACTTCAAAATTAATAACATACCCAATACCAGTAACTCTGGTAAGAAAGTTGATGGAAGAGCTGGTATCATCATTTCGGATCTAAAAGAAAATATTAGAATAGCATACATCAGTTAGTGAGATAAGCTTCAATATACTGTACACGCAGATTGTCAAAGGTATTGTGAAGAAGTGGGTGCAGAAAAGCTGCAACACCCCTACAGGATCTGTAGCTGCAAGACACAAAACTGCATCTAACGAAACATGGTTGTGTGCTATTTTTTAATTCCACAAACATTATGTTAGTTTCAATTAACTGCATCTTATGCTGTTTATTCTTCCAAAAACTGATAAAAATAACATTTCACAATGCTATTATAACATCTTCAGAAAGACTTTTCTTTTCCATTCCCGACTGACTTTTAACATCCCCGATGTATCGGGAGTATCACTTATTGTACATGTTTTTAAACATCCAAACTCACCTTTTCAAGTTTTCTTAGTTTGCCAGTTTGAAGGAACTCATCAATTTTTTCTGCTATCTTAGCTCCAACTCCATCCTGTGGAAATGTGAAAAAGTAAAAATGACAGAGCTGCACTTACTGAAGTCATGCAACATCTGGCTCTTGGCAAACATAATGCATACATATATACATACACATATATATATATATATATATATATACATATACATACACATATACACCCATTTACATACACACACACACACACACACACGTGTATATATATATATATATATACACAGTGAAGGAAATCATTACATGATCCCTTGCTGATTTTGTAAGTTTGTCCACTGACAAATACATGAGCAGTCTATAATTTTAAGGGTAGATTAATTTTAACAGTGAGAGATAGAATATCAAAAATAAAATCCAGAAAATCGCATTGAATAAATTATATAAATTTATTTGCATTTTGCAGAGAGAAATAAGTATTTGATCCCTCTGGCAAACAAGACTTAATAGTTGGTGGCAAAAACCTTGGTGGCAAGCACAGCACTCAAGACGTTTTTTGTAGTTCATGATGAGGTTTGCACACGTCAGGAGGAATTTTGGTCCACTCCTCTTTGCAGGTCATCTCTAAATCATTAAGATTTTGAGGTTGTTGCTTTGCATCTCAGAGCTTCAGCTCCCTCCATAGGTTTTTGATTGGATTAATGTCTGGAGACTGGCTAGGCCACTCCATGACCTTAATGTGCTTCTTTTTGAGCCACTCCTTTGTTGCCTTGGCTGTATGTTTTGGTTCATTGTCGTGCTGGAAGACCCAGCCACGACCCATTTTCAATGTCCTGGCGGAGGGAAGGAGGTTATCACTCAGGATTTTACGGTACATGGCTCCATCCATTCTCCCATTGATGTGGTGAAGTAGTCCTGTGCCCTTAGCAGAGAAACATCCCCAAAACATAACGTTTCCACCTCCATGCTTGACAGTGGGGATGGTCATAGTCAGCATTTCTCTTCCTCCAAACACGGCGTGTTGAGTTAATGACAAAGAGCTCAATTTTTGTCTCATTTGACCACAGCACCTTCTCCCAGTCACTCTCAGAATTATCCAGATGTTCATTGGCAAACTTCAGACGTGACTGCACATGTGCCTTCTTGAGCAAGGGCACCTTGCGAGCACTGCAGGATGTTAATCCATTACGGCGTGATGTGTTACCAATGGTTTTCTTGGTGACTGTGGTCCCAGCTGCCTTTAGATCATTAACAAGCCCCCCCCCCCCCCTGTAGTTCTAGGCTGATCTCTCACTTTCCTCATGATAAAGGATACCCCACGAGGTGAGATTTTGTATGGAACTCCAGATCAATGTCGATTGACAGTCATTTTGTATTTCTTCTATTTTCTTACTATTGCACCAACAGTTGTCTCCTTCTCACCCAGTGTCTTACGTATGGGTTTGTAGCCCATTCCAGCCTTGTGCAGGTCTATGATCTTGTCCCTGACATCCTTAGACAGCTCTTTGAACTTGCCCATGTTGTGGAGGTTAGAGTCTGACTGAATAATTGAGTCTGTGTGAGTATGTGTGGAAAGGAGTATCTTGATGCATGCTCATGTGGACAGGAGTCTTTTATACAGGTGACAATTTAAGACGGCTGTCTTCAATACAGGTAACAAGTTGATTAGGAGCGTTAATTGGTCTGTAGGGGCCAGAACTCTTTAATGGTTGGTAAGGGATCAAATACTTATTTCTCTCTGCAAAATGCAAATAAATTTATATAATTTATACAATGTGATTTTCTGGATTTTATTTTTGATATTCTATCTCTCACTGTTAAAATTAACCTACTATTACAGACTGCTCATGTCTTTGTCAGTGGGCAAACTTACAAAGTCAGCATGGGATCAAATAATTGTTTCCTTCACTGTATATAATATCATACTCTATTAATCACCATTGGGGAAATTAATTATTTTCCCACCACAAATGTGAGTACACATGTGGAGCAGAGTGTTGCCAAAAAATAATTTACAGCACCACATCAAAACGTTTCCATATACTAAAGTTTAATGGTCAATTTAATGAATGTATTCATGCAAATGTCCATCCTGACAACACACAGTAAGTATCAAACATAAACTCATGAAGACATACTGAACAGTAATGATCATTACAGCAATGCATCCTGAATAAAACAAACAGGACTGACACTGATATTTGTCTCTCAGAGATCGAGTTGCTCAGCAAAATCTTATTATAGATGCAGTCCAGTGTCTTCTGGTTTACTTATTTTTATTGAATGTCAACAGGTCACTTTTGTATTATTACAAAAAGCTGTAAAATACACTGGTACACAAAATGTATTTAATGCACAAACCAGTTTCTTGGCCTCTTCTCCACTTTTAATCTTGTTGGGGTACTTGGCAATGGTAGACGCTGCTTTCCTATCCACAATGTACAAAAAAGCATTTTGTGGCATTTTAACAATAAAGAGACTAATGTCTTAAAACAACAATCAGAATGTCAACATTCAAACCATAAAGCAATTTCTACTACATATAGTTTGATATATTGCTGTGACAAGAACACTATTAGGCAAACTAATTTATCACAACAGCATTGTGTCAATTTGTGTTATGTACCTATCCTCACCAAGATCAAGCAGGCATAAACATCACAAGCCAATTTTACTGATAGTTAGTCCCTTTCAAGATCACTATTCTAAGTTATTTGGCAAAAAGTAATTAAATGAAACCCTCGCTGGTTAAAGCATACACGCACCAGAACTTACCTGTATGCATTGTACTTGTGTATTGCTCTGTTGACATTTTTCTCATAGTTTGCCAGCTCTGGAAACAGACAGAAACAACTTTTAAGACTTCGTGACTTCATGTTAGTGTTAAAACTGCAGGGCAGCTCAAAGTCAAAGGCATTTAAATTACTAACTAATGAATCAAACTTTAGTACAAAGCAACCCAGATGCTTTAAGGTGCGACAACGTGGCAACATGGCTAAACTTATCATATAAAATACATTGGATTTACGAAGTTGATGAAAAGCTATTTAATTTTAAATATAGGATAACAGTCAGCTAACTGCTGGCTTAGCTTCACGTACCGACAAGGAAGTCTGTTATTCCCTCATTTAGGGACTCCTGTGGTGCTTTCCTCTTGCTCATTGTGACCAAATAACTATTTGATGTTATTTGCCAATCAAGCTACTTTATTTATAAGTTTAATAAGTTTGTTTTTTTGTGTTTTGAGTCTGCATCTAGTTAGCACTTTAGCTATGGCTAGCTCACGCTAAACAATGACCGAAACGCGTAGGACGGATTGCGCCTGCGCAGTGCGTCGTTGACATCAGACCTTTACCCCCCCAAGATTATTTTGTTTATTTTGATTTTGTTCAAATTTTGGTATTGCCCATTTGTTAATTTATTTTGGCAGAAACTGTTACTTTATTCACAGTAATATCGAAAAGCATTTTGTCTTATTGAGGGAGAATGCGTTGTTTGGACTCTGGAAACTGTACGCACACACTCACACACTATGTCATAAATCTATGATTAAATGCCAAAATATCCCATTAATTGTAGCAAAAACTCTGGAAGGAAACCATGATTTATAACTTTTCCTAATGAGATCAAACAATATGTTCAATTAAAAAAAAAAAAGACTAATAAGGCACTAAAAAAACATTAAGAAATGTATTGTGTTAAATCTAACACTTTAGTGAATCTGTCCAGAGGACCTGATTTAACCTTGTTAGATTTTTCTACCTGGATTATTGAGCATGCATCAGGACATTGTGTTGAATGTTTCTTAGAGCCCTGAACTCCAAGCATTACATTTTCTTCTTTTTTTCCCTAGTGAAGCTGTTTCTTGGTCTGTTTAAGTTTTGCTCTGTTGTTATGTTTTGATATAGTGTTCTGAACTAATGACTTAGTAATGTGAACCTTTAAGCTTTAAGAAGGAAGTAGTGTATTTAAAATAATACATTTTCTTTTTGGCACAAGATTCTCTACAACATATATCAGTGTTTAATAGTCATCCATCCATCCATTATCTTTACCCGCTTCTTCCTTTTTGGGTCGTGGGGGTCACTGGTGCCCATATCCAGCTATCACTGTGCGAGAGGCGGGGTACACCCTGGACAGGTCACAAGTCCATGACAGGGCCACATAGAGACAAACGAGACAAACAACCATTCACTCTCTCACTCACACCTAGGGACAATTTAGAGTTACCAGTTACCCTAAGATGCTAAGGGGCTGATAATTGGCTTCAGGAAAAATAAAATGGTGGTCCCACCCCTGATTATAAGAGGACACAGTGTAGAGAGAGTAGCTGACTACCGTTTCCTGGGAGTCCACAGTGAGGAGAATCGGACCTGGAACATGAACACCTCTGAGTTACTGAAAAAGGTCCAGCAGAGACTCTACTTCCTGAGAGTGCTCAGGAGGAACAACATCACCCAGAGACTGCTGGTGTCTTTCTACAGATGTTCCATAGAGAGCATCTTAACATACTGCATCACCATGTTGTATCTTAGCTGCACAGTGGCTCAGAGGAAAGAGCTCCAGAGAGTTATCAACACAGCTCAGAAGATTGTGGGCTGCCCTCTTCTCTCACTGGAAAATCTACACAGTTCCCACTCCAAAGAAAAAGCCCACAACATCTTAAAAGACACATCTCACCCTGGACATGATCTGTTTGAACTGTTACCATCAGGGAAAAGGTACAGATCAATCAAGACAAGAACAAACCGATTTAGAAATTATCCATCAGCTTTTACTGAACTTAACAAAAACTGTAATAAGAACTGAATAAGTGCAATAAGGGACAACTTGTGCAATATCAGTCTGCTTATGTTGCACATTTGGAGTGTTTAAAATCTTATTACCTTTTATACATTTTATATATATATATATATATATATATATATATATATATATATATATATTGTTTGTTTCATATTATACAGCTTTTATGGTACTCTTGCTCTGGGAAGTAAACCCAAATTTATTTGTGTTTAGGTGCAATGACAAATGTCTATTCTATTGTATTCTATGCATGTTTTTGGTCTGTGGGAGGAAACCAGAGTACGCGGAGAAAACCCGTGCATGCACAGAGAGAACACGCAAACTCCCAAATGACCATCGTCCTTTTTGATAGATCTCTTATTTAATTTACAAAACAACTGCAAATGCGCGCGCCTTAAATATATATAGGCCTACTGCCACTCAGTACAAATAACGGCTAATCAAAAAACAAAACAAACAAACAAAACTGAGTTTATCTGCATAAAAGTACTTTGTATGCCTTCATGACTGTAAAACAGTAATCTGTTGTAAAGTCCTGTGTTCTGTTACATAATACAAGATGAAAGAAATCTCAGTGAAGCAGTGGGTTATCAGGTCCGTTTTCTTTTCTTCTTTGTCCTCCTCATGTGTTAAGAATTAATTTTTACATAAACCTTGTCCCTGGAGAATATTTTGATGGCCTCCTCAAGCTCAGAAAGCCTACAGTCAAGGTGAGCTCGGTGCGAGCGAACGCTCAGATTGTCCGCTTTCATGGGGAGTGACAGCAGCTCAGTCACCAAGGAGCGATGGGCTGAGGCAAATTTAAAAAAACAGCAAAACACATAATTAGTTGAATATGGTTGTACATATACTGTATCTGAAGGATGATACATACTATGTTTTAGGGACTTTAGTGTCTCCTGTCTCTCGCTCTCGGGTAACAAGGTGTGACCGGCAGGAACTGTAGGATCAGGCGCAGTCCTCCTCTTCTCTTCCTTTTCTTTACGCCACTGTTCCTTCCTTTCCACAAGACTGTGTGTTTACAATAGTGGATGTTTTTGTGTATCAAGAGCAAAGTAAAGAAAAAAGCAATGACAGAAAAAGACATGAAAATGTCAAAAACTGTATTAAATTTAACAATCACAAAGCCCACACAGCCACACAGCCACACAATATAAGCCACTTTTGAGGCAGCTGATAATAAAATACTCACTACTGAGGCACTTGACCCTTGACTGCACTGGGCACAGGCTTGTCTCTGAGGTTTGACAGTGACTGGGACCGACGAATAACCGTTTGTCCTGCAGTCTTAGCGTTATGTTTTATGAAGTCTATTTTCAGACCTTGCACCTGTAAACATATTAGAATAAGCATTAAATGTTATAGATGAAAATCAGTTGCAGTTGTACCTTTCTCATATTTCAGATATGAGAAGATTTAGGTAGAAATAAATGTGATAAATCAAACATATCACTGTATCACCCTTTTAATGTGCAGTTTTTAAATTTTAAAACACTCTTTTTGTGTCAGTTTGGACCGTCAAGTCCTGGTCCTGTGTAGAGCTGCAGGAGGCTGGGCGCTGGGCAGTTACTGGTCTAGCAGAACCACCATTAGAGTGAGCCTTCAGAAAATTTTGACACTGTGGCCTAACAGTTGGAGTAGAAACCTACATAAATTAAATGCACTGGTTAAAACATAAAAGGGATCATTTTATATCTCATGAATTTATATTGATAACAGATGTTGTCCTTGCCTCTGGCTGGGTCATAACCCTGGACGGGGTGTTTTGGTATTTTGAGGAAGTCCATAAAGCTTTAACTGGAACAGGACGATTCTGGGCCCTCTCAGCTTCCTGCTCTTTGCAGCGTTTCTGAATCTCCCGGAGGCGACGTATATTCTCTTTACTGAAGTCTTGCACTCTTTGTTCTAAGAAGGTCAAGAAACAAAAACATGTCATAGTTACAGTTCAATACTGTACTGCCTTTTTATGTTCAAATTTCCTGTTTTCCATTGTTTTATGTCTCTGGTCTCCAAAATAACAATATATCGCTTACATTTAACATTTACAGAGTCTGAAATGTAAATAAAAAGAGTAAAAAACCTAAAAAGCATTTTATGACATTTCACATTCACTGACACACACATTTGTTGTTGAAATAAACCAGAGGTTTATCATTATATTATAATATTATTATAAAAGGCCCCTACTCTGTTTGGGAATAGGTGATACAGAGACACCATCTAGTTTCAGCAGCTCTCCCACAATCCCTTTCTGTCCCCGTTCCAAAATATGAGTGGCATTAGGGTTGATGCGAGGGCGACGTGGTTCACGAGCGCTGTAGCATTCTGGATTCAACACAGGATCTGGAGCAAGTGGACCCAAGAGAAGGGCCACAGTCCCACCGTGGTTTCCCTCTAAACGGCTGCGAGCTGAAGAAAGTGAAAAAACTAACATGTAGTTCATAAAATGTTTTACATTAGGTACAGGATAGGTTCCAGGTCATGTAATACGGTAGCTTAAATTATACATATGGATATCATTTATCAAAGCATTGATTAATTATGATGCTGTAGCATTTCACTGCAGAAAAATCTTAATCTTAAAATAGAAATGTAAATGAACTGAATGAATGTTAAGCATTCAACAAGTACAAAAAGTTTGACCGTTCCTAACCTGAAGATGGCCGTTTGTAGTACTGAGGAAACAGAGACGGATCGGGGGGTATTGGTCCAGAAAGTGCAGAAGGTCCCTCACACATCTGAAATGGCAAAAAGTGATAACTAGAAAAAGTTGCAGTGATGCTGCCAGCTAAGCAATATTTTAACTCAAACACAGTAGATTGAATAAGTATATAATATAATGATTAGTGTGAATACATGTTTGCCTTTGACAATGAATATAATGATCGCTTTTTGGGGGGCTTGCAGGTTTTATAATAATTACATTTATTGTGCCTTCCAAACAAAACATACTTTATATGTCTCTTGTGAAAATCTTTACAGGCCCATAGGAAACAAATCTGACAATAAAAAATTGGACTGGAAGGGCAGACAATTTCAGTTCATGTTTTGATATGACGTAAAGATGCACAAGTAATACTTTGTAAAATAGAAAATAGATAAACACGTTTTAAGAAGTGAGCTAAAAAATATTGTTACACTTCTGTTTTTAACTTAGCTAAACGCTAACCTGAGGTAGCTATGTTGTAAATTTTGTTCTTAAACGAGCTAAAAAAAACAGGTTTCATGACGAATTTAGTCTTTGATACAAAACATAAATGAGAAACAGTCACACTAAACAATTTTAAGACTGTTCAACTGGCCAAGTTAATTTGTTTACCATTTAAAATCGTCCCCTTGTTTATCGGTAAAGGATTTTCTTTCCGCACGCGGATTACGCCGAGGCGTCAACGATTGTTGTAGGATTCATCACCATGGCAACGGAGCATGCGCACACCGATACAAGCTTTCTAGAAAGGTAATGCTTCACAATAAGAAAACTTAAAATTAAATAAATTGATTGACACTTTGGTAGGCTAATAATAATAGCTTAATAAAAAAAAAAGATGTATAACTTATTATGTAAACCTCGTATCACCTGAATATTGACTGCAGGTACAGCATGGTCTCGTAGTTTCTAAGCTAAAGCCTAAACTTACTCAATTCCTTATAATTCTCGACCTGAATTAAAATCTGGCCGTTTTTTAAGTTAGATACCATGGAGAAATGATTTTCCTCTTAATTATGAGATGCTGTCAAATTATGATATGCTGTAGGTACTAATTTTAAGATTGTAGACCATAAATATGACATTCCAATTTTTATTTTTGAGATGCTGTCAAAATTATGTGATGATAACATCTAATTTTAAGATGCTAAGTCATAAGTACGAAACAGTAAGTAATAATTTGGATATTTTAGGTCATAATTACAATAAATTAAGCCATGATTTAAAGGATTATTTTTTGTGGGTGAAATGGTCGAACATATGAGTGATTAAATCGACTTTATTTAAAAAAAAAAAAAGCTGCATCAGAAATCTGCTAATTTTAATGTTTACAATGCATACACACATTTTTGTTAAAACTTTATTTATAACAGTTCCCATTACATCGCGATCAAATCGTATTTTTTTTCGCTTGCACTAAGGCCCCGCCCTCGGCTGGAGGTGTGAGTGCGCATGCTCAGTGTGACGAGCTGTTGTCCTCTTCAAACAGCTGCCCCGAAACTGCGCTGCGAAAACTCTGCACTCTCGGGGTTTTTTAAAAAAAAAAAAAAAAAAAGAAAGGTAAGAAAATATTGTTGTTAGCTAATCTTTACATAAAGTTATTGTCACGCCTGTTTGCCTCTCTTGCAGTTAGTAGCAGTCGCTCTGCGGTCAGTGGGAAATGAGTCACTCTGAAAGGAGTGGGAAAACCGCAGGAAGCGTCTGCCTGCCTACTAGTTTAGGCCTGTTGTGTTGGATAAAAACCAGTAAACTCACTTTTAACAGCAGCACACATACAAACTATATGCTTTTAAACTAAAATGTAATGATTTGGAAGAGTTACCGCTAAGAATAAATGTAACAATGCATATTTATATGATTTTTTTAGTAGACATGTTGCATTGCACGTTGCAAGCAGCTTAGAAACAATTGAAACCAGGTTTGGACGCAGCAGTAAACACACTCACTTGTAATATACAGCATTGCGACGCTTTAAATCTGTGCTCGCGTTGTGTGCGTTTGTGTGAAGCAGCACAGGAGCCACATAAACTCTTACAGAGCAAGGACAGTTATCTACACCGAGGCTTTATCAGCCAAACCACTTTGAGGAACAAATCAAAGGGAAACCTGTGCTGTTTTAACTGTTAATAACTTTGTATGGATGCTTAATTCATGCTTTTTCTTTCCTGTGCCTCTATCCAAAGTTCTGAAATCAGGCCTGAGCTAGTTGCCTCACAGAATGTTCTTTAATAGCACAAGATAATGCTGCAGTCATGGCATTGAAAGCACCAGTGGTAAACACACTCACACAAAAGCCAGTTATTGTACACACACAACCCACTGGAGCTAAATGAATCCTACATACCACACAGAATAATACACTTTACATTTAAGCTGTAATGTGTTTGTGGTGTAACCTAACTGCCCTTGACCTTATCTCACGTGTGCACATTTCTTTTTTTATATGACTCCAACACACACTGCGTTAGCTTCATGTTATCTGGAGGTTAGGCTGGTGTTGAGCAACTGCCTGTTGACACACTTGATAGTTTTTGTTCTGGTACCGCAGGTCCAGAGTTTTTATTTCAAATAGCTGTTTATTACAAATCAAACCATGTAATAAGTGTTGATTTTTTTTTTTCCCTTTTGATATCTTTAGATGCTACATTATTTATCTTTATGATCATTTTAAAGCATTTCTAACACCACAATGAAAACATTTAGCAGATTTTTTTTTACTCCATTTCTTTATAATATTTCTAAACAATAAAAATGTACCAGACTAGAGATCCTAGTACAACTAACAGTGTTTAGTTTTCAACAACACATGTTTTGTGTTGGTGTCTTTTTGACCTTTGAGCAGTGCAGTGAGTGACAGGAGCATGTTTGCTCTTATGCACAGAGTGGAGGTACAATACAGACAAACACATTTGTTTTTATAGGGGTTTTAATGTTCTGTACTTGGAGAACGATTGCACGTTGAATGCCAGGTCACGTGTTGTGGTGTCAGGTTTTACCCCAGTTAAATTTAGAGCCTAGAAAGAGTGGAAGCCGAGAGAGGGTGGGTCAAAAATGGACCACGTGGAGAAATGAGTAGGTAGGGGAGTCGAGACGGAGTGTCTGTCCACCAAAATGACAATGAGCAATCAGCAAAACGCCGGTCTGCCGGCACATACTGGAGATGCTGGGAGACAAAAACATGCATGTTAGTCTGCCTTCATGCCTCCCTTGCAAAAGAGATCTGTGATCTCAGTGGGATTTGCCTGGTTAAATAAAGGTTAATAATTAAAGTTACTATATTTTACAATAAAATGTTAAAATAATTATTTGATTATGTAAAAAGCTCATCAAATAAGAAAGAACTAAAAATTTTAATCGGCTAAATGTAGACCTTTGGATTCACAAGTTTTTATAGCAAATTCCTCAGCTGTGCTGACAGATTAACTTAAATGTCTTCAGACATGTTTTATTTTCAAATTGTGCATTTATTACTTGGACTATACTTCAGATTATGGTGGGAGAGGCATGGATAGAAGGATGTTAATTTTCCACATGACATTTAACACAATTATTAATCAGATTCAGTTTTTAATGATTTTCTTTAACTCTGTTGCCTTTTGGCTGATGTTATAAAAAGTAAAAAAAAAAAATATATATATAAACTAAAATAAAATTTTAGTGCCTTAACATTCACATGTGAAAAAGAGTGCATTTGGATAAATGTTTTGAAAGCCGCTGCTGCAAGTCCCGGGTACATGCATGATCCTCTGCAGGTCTGCACACATTGTTGCATCTAGAGCCATACAGTTAGAACCATCACTCTTGAGCAAGTATCATTTTGTGATATGATACTGTCGGAACAGTACAGGACGTCCTGCCAATACATTTCTTTCATTCCTGTTTGCGCTTCCATCGTCTGAAGAGACATGGAAGAGAGTGCAGGGGTTGTGGTTCTGCAGGAGAAGACAGGACAAGGCGTGCTGGCAGAAAACAAAGATGTTGGTCTGACATGTCACTGTCAGCACCATGCACCCAAGGGACATGGTGAGTGCTGGGTCTGCATGTGGAGAGATAAATCAATTATCATCTGGGTCCCTGGTTGGCACTTGCTGACCTTGTTCCCAAATCTTAAGATTCAGTTGTTCACTGTGTTGGATTTTAGTGTCTGGTGGTTTTACACACTGAATACAGTTATTGATGGGCAAAGTCTACGGTAGTTCCTCTGCAGAAAAGATGTGATCTTTAGATTAACAGTCAGGGGAGCAAAGGAAAGAAGGTGAATGGGTTAAACATTAATCCAGCTTTAATTTGTAATTGAAGAAACTAAATGCTCGTTCAAAGTTGTCCAACATGTCTAACGAGATTGAGTCAGGTCCTCAGGACAGATTCTTCTTTGTTGAAACATTTCATCTTTTGTCCAAAAGACACCTTCAGTGTGAGGAGCTGCAGCAAACAGCACCTTCTCATTGTGGATCAACCAGTTTGCTGCTGGTGACAGCCCAAACTGATTGTTCAGATGCAAAAGGAGGACCATCAACTTAACAATTGTTAGGCTTTATCTACCTAGATTATTGAGCATACATCAGGACATTGTCCAACATGTCTTCCTTCCTAACACCCAGAAAGGTCACACCAACTGAGGGGACCCCGATGACTGTGTGGAACAGTGCAGGACTGGAGTGGTAGATTCTGACTAAAGAAGCAGGATTTCTGCTTATGCTAGCTCGGCTGCATTACTTGTATGTCTTTGCACAATATATATTTCTTTCTGCTCTGAAGAGTTTCAGAATTAACTCTTTTGGTTGGCACGCTGTTGTGAGTGGCAACAAATTCTGGCTGCACAGTTTCTGCACATCACAACAAGTGAACCGTTCCATTAGCTTAACAACTGCTGATGCTTTGTTGCCGGAGGATCAATAGGTTTTAAATCTATGTGCTGAATACATCTATCACATCGATAGGCACCCCTCTGCTGGCTGATAGTGATGTGTGGAGCTGGCTGTTGGCAGCAAATGCTGAACTATCTGCAGTGCTTCTGAGAATGCGTGGATGCGTGTACCATTTGTGCTCTGTGAGACGAACCGCTCAGCATACTCATAACATGTGGAGATTCATCAATTTAGAAAATGTTTCAGTTTGTATTCTGTTGTCGACTGTGCTGAAAAACTCAAGATTTATATTCAATTCAATTTCAATTCAGTTTATTTATATAGCTCCAAGTTACAACAGAAGTCATCTCAGGGCACTGAACAGAAACATTTATGTAAAAATAAGTTAACAGAAAGGTCCATATATAAAAATAATTATTTAAGATTTTATCAGAGGAGCAGACTGCTTTGAATTTAACTCCATCACAGAACTCTCATCTTGAGCAAGCATGAAGGCGACAGTGGAAAGGAAAAACTCCCTCACGAGTAAGAAACCTTTAGCAGAACCAGGCTCAGGACAAGCGGCCATCTGCTTCGACCGGCTGAGTTTGGTTGTTAAGATAGAAATCGTATCAAATGAAAACTATTCAATTTTAACAATTATTTTAAGGAAATGAGGTAAATTTGTCCTCTAGTAGTCTAAGCTTAAGGCAGCATAACAAGCCAACCCTACAGTAATTATAGGATTTATCAAAAAGGAAAGTCTTAAGCCCAGTCTTAAAACGGGACAATGTGTCAGCCTCATGGACAGAAACTGGAAGTTGGTTCCACAAGAGAGGAGCCTGATAACTGAAAGATCTTCCTCCCATTCTGCTTTTGGAAACTCTAGGAACCACAAGTAAGCCTGCAGTCTGAGAGCGAAGTGCTCTGTTAGGAAAATATGGAACAATAAGATCTCAAATATAAGATGGAGCTAGGTTGTAGAGGGCTTTGTAGGTTCGAAGTAAGATTTTGAATTCAATTCTGGATTTGACAGGGAGCCAATGGAGAGAAGCTAAAACTGGAGAGATATGATCTCTCCCACTAACTCCAGTTAAGACTCTGGCAGCAGCATTTTGGATCAACTGAAGACTTTTTAAAGAAGTATTTGGACACCCAGATAATAAACCATTGCAATAGTCCAGACTTGACAAATGCATGAACCAGTTTTTCTGCATCATTTTCAGATAAGTTGTTTCTAATTTTAGCGATATTACGCAGGTGGAAGAAGGCGGTTCTAGAACTAGTCAAGTACAAGAAAGTCACTTTTCAGAAGTTAAATGTAAATAAGTTCTTTTGCACAATACTGTAGTTATGGTAAACTGCAGATGATGGAAAAAAGTGTTTCATGGAATATACTTTGGAGTTACTTTGGGAAGAGCGAATCATTCTGAAAGCTTGAAGCTTGAATTAATATGAATGTTTGGGTTTAGCTGCACATAAAAAAAGGTACTCATTCACAATTTCCCCAACATGACTAATTTGTTGGACTATTTCTTTATATTAGCCATGAACTGATCATGCCAATGTACACATCTATTAACAAATGTATACAATATAAAAACACTTTATGTGGATGTCTGTTTCCTTAGGAGCAATGGCCGTCCCCCCAACTTACTCAGACCTGGGCAAATCTGCCAAAGACATCTTCAACAAGGGCTTCAGTGAGTCGACAAACTTTGTAGACATGAATGTTTCATACAAAGTTATGTCATGTCTGTTGTTTGAACATAAGCTGCGTTTGTGCAGAACATGTTGTTAACTTTATATTATTTTATTGTTGCCACGTTTACAGCCATGCTGTGGAGCAACAGGGTGTTCTTCCAGCTATGCTTAGTAGTTTTATTTAATTTCCTGCTTTTCTTTCTTCCCAGGTTATGGAGTTCTGAAGCTGGACGTCAAGACCAAGTCTCAGAGTGGTGTAGTAAGTAGGATTGTTTTATCTGTAAGCCTGATGGGTTTTAATTAAAATCTTCTTTGTCTAATCATGGTTATATAGAATAAATGGCAGATTAACGCCTTTACACATCTATTTTAAGCAAAATCTGCAGGATGTACTTCTGACTTGTTTCTAAAGAGCTATGACGTATCACAGAAAAGTTTAATCAAGTCTTAGTTTTAGCTTTATACACTCTTCAATAAAAGGCAGCGGGCGGCGATTTTGCCACCTACTCAAGTGTCCAACGCTGCTTACACTGACTGACAAATGTTTTTGTTTTTCCCGAGGAGTCTTATCGATGTGCTGGCGCATCATAGTTACACAACCGTTTTCAGTCGCTCTAGCTAGCAGGAATGACACAACCTCTCAGAGACATAATAATTTAACTTGTGTCAGAAGTGCAAACTTCAAAGTACACACCAGTTTTTAAATTGTGTCAATAGGCCAAGTAAAACCAGAGTTATGATAAATAATGTACGACACATCTTTTTCTGAAAATCATCATCAAATCTGATGTATGTTGGAGCGAGAGGCTGCAGCAAAGATGGGCAGTCTTCTGGACATAACTCCCCCATCCCCCTCCACTATTAGCCCCCACCCCCACCGAACAGATAAACAACCTCCCATCTCCTTTCTGACAGAGGCCCCAAGTTATTTGTCAAGCACCAAAAAGTTTACAGGAAGAAGAAGAAAAAGGCAAGTTGAATGGAGTTCAGCGCGATTAAGACGACGAGAGAAAAATGAGTGATGAGATTTGAGAACTTTGTGATATTTAGGTTGTTTTCACACCTGATAGTCCGGTAGACTCTGTTCGACTGGGGACCAAAATTCGGAATATTTGTTTACATTTTCAGCTGGTGAAGTTCACATTCACACTGCACTGTGCAGTCGAGCCAACCTGTTCCCCCCCTCGCCTGTGGTGGCGCTGCACCAAGAACTACTGAAGGAAACAACACAAAAACCTCTGAAGAAAACACTGAGCTTACTGGAAAAACAAAAATGGAGTGGTGTCAAATTTTAGCGGTTTGAGGATTTCTGTTTTGTCATTTTTCAACCATGGACTCAGCATGAGCAGAAGATGAGGCAGAAGACCACGGAGAATGTTGTTTTTCACACAAGGCGGCTGAGACTGCTCTGTATGAGTTATGAGAACTGCGCGTTTATTTTGGCTGTTTTTACACAGAATGCCCTGCTCTGTAGTCCACTTCCTGCTTTTGGAGCAGTCTTCGGTTCGCTTGCATTCACACTGCATTCGAACCACGCCAGAGTTCACTTCAACCGATTTGAGTACAGTGCAGACTGGGCACCGCTACGCAAGCAGGAAGTGGACTGCAGCGCAAACAAACACGTATTTCTCTTACCTCATATGGAGCCGTCAGCTGCCTTGTGTGAAAAACGGCATTCTCCATGGTCTTCTGCCTCATCTTCTGCTCATGCTGAGTTCATTGTTGAAAAATGACAAAACAGAAATCCTAAAACCACTAAAATTTGACGCCACTCTGTTTTTGATTTTATTTCCAGAAGACGACGTGTCTTCAGAGGTTTTTGTGTCGTTTCTTTCAGCAGTTCTTGGTGCAGCGCCACCACAGGCGAGTGGGGGAACAGGTTGGTTCAACAGGTTGGCTCGACTGCACAGTGCAGTGTGAATGCAAACTCAACAGCTCAAATGTAAACAAAATGTTATGAATATTGATCCCCAACCGAACCGAGTCTACCGGACTATCAGGTGTGAAAACAACCTTAGTCTGTTTGAGTCAAAGCAATGAGGCAGTTTTTGAACGTGAGGAGAACGGCGCTGCATACCCAGATGTGGATGAAGCTGCAGAGTCAGAACCTCTCAGACAGAAGAGAGGATCATGAAGGCAGAGATGTAGGAGAAAAACGGATCGAGTCAGACAGAGAGGACTTTGTTGATGAAGCTGGCGATCATGATTTGTTTAGAAGAGGAAAGAGAGGAAGAGTGCACCAAGCTCCACTCAGAGGCCTGAAGCTCAGCTCCCTCTTCACCACAACTGAATACAGTACTGCGAAAGCTGCACCAATTCATCTGTAAAGTTCACACCCAATTATTTCTTCATTCATGAACAAGACTGGGGAGTGGTGGCGCAGAGGTTAGAGAAGGTGGGACTGTGATCGGAAGATTGCCGGCTCAAGCCCCAGTACCGACAACATCAAAAATGTGGGTGGGGTAGGTGAAACACCCACACCTGCCCCCACCCTCATTTGCCCCACTCTGAGCCCATGAGCAAGCCCCCCCCCCCCCCCCATGTGCTCCCCAAACAGGTCTCTCTTGAAAATGAGTTCTCGTGGCTCAATGAGACTACCTGGATAAATAAATGGTAAATGGAAAAAAACCCAACAACAATACTTAAACTCCTACTTGAGGCAGCGCCTCACTCCCAACCCAGAAAGGGCAGTCCACCTACCTTCTATTACCATAGCAAAACCATTAACACGTGCTTGCAACCAGATTTGTTTCCTTGCTACAAACCATAGTCTTTAAAAAAAAAAAAACTATTGTGTGCAAACTTTTGTTTTCTGCAGTGCTTTTTATTTCCCAGTGAGTGAATAAATATCTGCATGTAAACTTCGGCCTAACGTCCTTTATTTCTTTACCCTTTCCTGCTTCTTTTTGGATTCTTCTGTTAGACGGTAAGATGAAGAGATTTTCTGTGTGTGTTTGTATTTCCAAGCTTTCTGCTAATTTTATTTTTTCCAGCGGTTTATCTGAGCACCGCTTGAAGTCATCAGCAGAACATCTTCCTCTAAAAACTCAATAAACCTCACAGTTCTATAATTTCAGTTTTCCTTGGCAGGTTTTCATATTTTTGTTCTCCTTTTAGACGATGAGTCTTAACAAACTTGTGCCGGCTCATCGATGGGAGAGCAGGTTTCATTTATCCAGAGAGTTTCTCCTTTTCCCCAGCCTCTTATTTCTGTTTCTGCTTGCTGCTCCCCTTTCCCAACTCACTCACCTCGTCCATGTTTGTCCTGCAGGAGTTTGCTACCTCTGGCACCAGCAACACCGACACGGGGAAGTCAGGCGGCCACCTGGAGACCAAGTACAAACTGAGTGACCTGGGCCTCACTTTCAACCAGAAATGGAACACAGACAACACACTCACCACAGAAATCACCATGGAAGACCAGGTCGAGCCAAACGTTTTACACATTTATGAGACAATATAATTTTATTATCCATCCTAAACATAGTAATGTAGAATGTTAGGTCACTGTCTGCATGTTTTCTGTCTGTAGCTGGCTAAAGGCTTGAAGCTCGGACTGGACACATCGTTTGTGCCAAACACTGGGTAAGAAATCCTTTTTTTTTATGTTAACTTGTTATCTTTGGTAAATTAGCAAAAAAAACAAAAAAAAAAAACACAAGTCAATTTATCAATAATTTTAGATGCACATTACCTTATTCTTTAGTAAGAAGAGTGCCAAGCTGAAGACTGGATACAAGCGGGACTTTATAAATGTGGGTTGTGACCTGGACTTCGACATGGCCGGTCCCACGGTCCATGCAGCTGCTGTTCTGGGCTACGAAGGCTGGCTCGCAGGTTATCAGCTGGCTTTCGACACCGCCAAGTCAAAACTGACTCAAAACAACTTTGCTTTTGGATACAAGGCTGGCGACTTCCAGCTTCACACCAGCGTGTGAGTTACTGCATCGCATTGAAACAGGAAATGGAAAAACGTGCATTATTCTAGGATGTTGTTTCTCAGTTCTGACCCTGTTTTGGCGTTCCGTTTCAGGAATGATGCTACAGAGTTTGGGGGCTCCGTTTACCAGAAGGTGAACAGTAACTTGGAGACAGCCATCCACCTGGCCTGGACTGCAGGAAGCAACAACACACGCTTCGGTATCGGTGCCAAATACCAGCTGGATAAGAACTCCACCTTGTCGGTAAGATCCAAAATAAAAGCATCAAACATATTTTCAAAACATAAATGTGTTCCTTGCTTCAAATTCATATTTCAGTAAATACAATGATGTGAATACAGTGATGGGCTGTTACAGTTAAGAAATCTTAGAAAACAGTTAATTGTTTTACAAAAAATTGCAATTACTGATTATTTCTATCCAAGCCGCAACTCTAGTGCAGGCTCTCTAATAACAGCAATATTACTTAAGAGTAATCAGTAATTCACCATTACGTAATAGGAAAATCACTGTCACTAATTAGAAATGAATACAAGAACATACATAAAATATAAACTTCTCTTTCAGGGTTTTTAACTAAACTTGCTCAAAAAGTCTGATGTAATCCAGTGTTTAGAAAAAGTAACTTTTCTACATAGGGCTGCTAGTTTAATGGTGAATGCTGCCATTTATTGGTAATTTTCCATAAAGGATTAAATATTTTACTGATAAATAGGAAGAAAGGAAAAGTGGTCATACATGTTAGAAAAATAAAATAAAATTATGACTTCATTATATTATTATTATATAATTTATTACATTTTATACTTTTATTATATACTTATCATAATAAAAAAATAAGTAATTCAGTGACATGATATAGACAAGGAGATGCTGCTGATAAAAACAATAAGATATTTAAATATTAATGCACCTAGAAAAAGTTAAAATTTTATTCATCACTTACCATATATCTGCTTTTCTCGTAAGTGTTGTGTATGTTTGAAAAAGAATGAGGGGAAAAATAACGCATCTGCTATAATTTTAAAGACAAGAAACTGATTCTTCTCAGTGCTTCACACACCATCATCTACCTTCCTTGCATTTGACGAGCCGAGGCTGATGCACTAATTTTGTAATCCAGATTATTTTATTCGCTCACCTAAAAAATTTTATTCCCCCCACAGACGAAAATTAACAACGCCTGCCTTGTTGGAGTTGGATACACACAAACCCTCAGGCCAGGTTGGCAAACTTTTCTTTATAAAACAATTTTCAGTAACAACACTGCCCCAGTAAGTTTATACTCCGACACTCTCCCACGCAGGCGTGAAGGTCACCCTCTCAGCCCTGATCGATGGGAAAAACGTGAACGGCGGCGGACACAAAGTCGGCATGGGTTTTGAGCTGGAGGCGTAAAGATTACGTAGTATAGACGCCGGGAAGCAACGCGGAGGATGAAGCAACTCAAATGTGAAAACACTGCAATGGTTCACTCAGCGACACGTCAAACACACGTTCCCTCTGTACACACGCACACACGTTCTTTGGCCTTAACCCTGAAACCCCAACAGAGACCTCCAGTACTGTAGTATTCACCTGAATCAAGACTTAGTTTTGAAATTGACATCATGTACAGCTCTCACCACAAACCTATAATCCTATATTAGCAGAATACAATAATGTCTCTAATACTGTGCTACTTTTAAACAGATAAAGTGCACTTTTAATGAAGTATTTGTTTCACACATCTCTGGGTTAATTCAGAAATGTTATGAAGCACCTTCTAGTGTTGAGTGTTCGGTCAGTCAAGTTAAAACTGGATTTTAGATCTTGGTAGGATTGTGATGGGATGCCTGTTGGGGAATGTTGTGGTTTTGATGCATGCTTTCAAGGCTGAAGAGTTTATATTTTTCTGTATTCATTGTCATTTTGAGACGGTGACTAAAAGGATGCAATAAAGGCTGGACAGGGTTTATTAAAATAAAACCTCAATTACAAACTGTAAAACAAATCAGTTGCCTAAATGTTTATTTTTCAGGACCTGTGGTCATAAAAGAAGAATCTGATTGCAGTTAGGATGTGCATCACCTTGTCTTCTCGTGTTTTGTGGCCTGTGTTCAGCCTTTGTCACTACATTTAAAATCTGTGCTGTGTTTAGCAAACGTAGTCAACAGTTAGAACCTGAAAATAATTTTTATTGAATAAAAAATGTCAAACACAATAAGCCTGATGGCTTGTTTGATCTTTTTATTTTGACTGATACAATGAACAGAACCCAAGCCTGCAAAATAATGGTAATAATCAAAGCAAACACCCGCTAAAGCACATTATCAGGTACAAAATTGGTTTTATAAATCTTAGAAATGTATAATCTAACATTAATAAAACCCAGCATCGGTACACAATAAACATTTAAGCACTTTGCATGAGCTACTGTATATACAGCACTTCCTGAGGGTTAACAGTGAAAGAGGCATCCTAATATGCATGACACACTATCTACAAAAATAAACTGATTTATGTGATAAAGCAACATTTGCACAATATTTTTTCTCACATTGATAATTAATATGTCTATAAATGTAAAAGAATAAGCATAAAACGGCTGCCACCTCTCGTGTTTACCTATGGAAACAGCCGAAGTGACTGAAATGAGATCAGTAATGGCACCATGCATCAAAGACCTGTTGACAATTTTGGTGTGTTTGCACATATGTACGCTCAGACTAGATGAGTAAAGTATGCAGATAAACTTCTAAGTGCATTTTTTATGTTGAGTGTAAACCTTTTCAAAATGCACCTTTGATATCGTTCACAAAAACCTTTTGAAGTTTGATTTCACATTATGAAGTTGCTACCTTTTAAAAGGAAAATAATTAAAAATGTTTGTTTACAAAGCTTAGTTAAAATCCATAAAACAATATTAACTTTTCAAGGGCTCAGATCCAATTGGACAACTAGCTCAGAAGCTGTTTGATTAATAGGCATTGTTGTATACTGTTTTTTTTTTTGTTAAATAATAAATGTACAGATCTGAAGTTCTTGGTTTTCATTTGGAAGCTGTTACTGTAAAACAATTAAAAATATCCAAAGGAAACCCATGAAAAAGAAAAATCAGTCAAAAAGCCAGTTGGAACATTAATGGAAACTAATAAACTGAAGCTTCACAGCAGAAATGGAAAATGTCCCCAAATCTTTGAAAGTGGAGGAACAAAAGTAAAAAAGCCTGAACAGACTGCATCTCGCTGACGACCTGAACCAGAAGCTGTTTAACAGAATGAAGTCATGGTTAATGTTTACAAGCTATATTTCAGTGGAATAAAAAAAAAAAAAGAGAAATATGTTTAAAAATGAAGAGCATTTGTTACATTCTTTTTTCAGTTCAGCATGAAAACCTTGAAATTAAAGCTGAGAGACACATTAAGCTACAGTAAATGGGAAACAACTTTATTTTGTTGTGAGCAGCTGAAATCACATCGTTGTCCAGATTTTATATTTATATTTTTTATATTTAACCTTTATTTAGACAAGTAGTCTCATTGAGTCACAAGGACTCATTTTCAAGAGACTTGTTTTAGACAGACAACACAAAGTTCAACAGATAGTTTAACAGGCATTTTACATTTCATATTGTTGCCCCAGTTCAGTAAATTGATTCATACTACGATGAAACAAATCACAGTCTAAATACTGCATCTGGAAATGGTTCAGGGTCAGCTCTGTTTTTATGACTTCATAGAGAATAAGAGTTAAAAACCTGTCTCTTTTGACATTAATCCAAAGCTCTGTGCATTTCTCTAAGTCAATATTTACACTCAATTTGGTGCCACATCTTTATTTTAACCCTTAATGAGTTAAATATCTAGTAGACTGTCCATGAATCATGAAGTTAAATAAAAACCTGCTTTAGATATGTCTATATATACCATGGGAAAGTGCAAAAAAGAATAACTGAAGTCATATTTACTTCTGATGAAACTTTAAATCACTGTGGAGAACTGTAGACCTCCCTTACATCAAGCTTGTTGTAATAAGTGAAGCTTTTAAAGACGTTATTGTAACTACAGCACCACCCTGACTGATATCTAAAATGGCTCCAACAAAATATAAGCCTGAAGAGAATTTGTGCACTTTTTGCACGTTGGTGGCGATTAGGTTTTAACAGATGTGCAAGGCTCACCGCTAGCTTTCAGACTGCAGGACTGAGTCTGCCTGGACGTTCAAAAGCAACATGGTAACATCTGATGGGATCTGCTCATGAAGAAGTGCAATTCTGCCAAAAATAAAACTTAAATTCACACATTGCTGAATTTCCCTGACAGCGACAGGATGTGCTGTCTGTTTAGGCTGGAATTAATTGTCTTACAAAGTCAAACAGGAGACTGAGATCTTATGTGTAGAGCCATGAGCCCGTTCACACACAGTCAGACAGCCAGAAGGACTTCTTGTTGTTCCACACCCCATCCACACAGAGGTAGTAGAGTACCACATGTCACCAAGTTCAGAAGAGATCGCTGGAGAAGTTCTGATCTCCCCGCAGCCACGTCCACTCCCTCAACATCTGGAAGACGAGAGCAGTTTTTTTAAATCTTCCACTTGCTACACCAGGCTCACCATGTGGAGTATGTGGAGTAAAATACCTCCATGTTGCCCTCTGATTCCTGGATGGTGTCGTGCAACAAGCTCTGGAGGCGGCTCTCAAATGCCCTGCTCTCCTCCACAAGAGACTCATCGCTGCAGACACAGACAGTATGACTCATGCAGATGTTACTCACAGCTGGGACAAGTAAATCAAAACAAGTCACTGTGTTTTCAGGGGTTCTGTCACTCCGAGTTCAACAAGAATGGGACAGTTTCTGGGTCAAATATGCAGCAGACAGTGGGAGACGGTGGGCGAACAAGAAAGACTTCCACTTCAAATAGTTGGCAGATGTTTCAGAGCCCTTCTCTAAAAGAGCTACATGAAGGTCCAAGAAGAATTTCTGTAGTCTGCAGTGGCTTTAAAAGCAGTACCTTTTTCTTAGAGGTCATTCAGATTTGTTGTTACAGATCCATTTTAGATAGGACTGCAAGTGATCAGCTCTGACAGTACTGTTTACTTGGTGGTAAAATGTGGACCCCGATAGGCCTGTCACGATAACAAATGTTGCTGGGCGATTGCCTCAGAAATTATTACGATAAACAATAAAACTGTTTGAAATTTGACAATAATTAGTAATTATTGTCAAATTTAGGAAGAAATATTGATTACTTTTTGTGTGTAATATCTTTTTTGACCACTGAATGGCAGTATAAGACTGTTTGAATTGAAGGATGGATAGTGAGGGAGCGAGCAGCGTGTCTCTTTAAGAAAAATGGGTGGGAGGCCACTTGACGTGACATGAGCTGTCTCTCGTTCCTGTTTTGCGGTTTTCAAAATGGCGGACGCTCGGTGTGGTTTGAGCTCTTTAACAGCATTTTTCACAAAAAGCTTTTATTAAAAAAAAAAAAAAAATCAATAAACAAGTTCTCAGCTTCTTTTTGCAGAGAAAAACAACTTTTTAGACAAAGGCACGGGTTTCAACTGTGAATTTTGGAGCTTTGACAAGACGGAGATTTTTTTCCCCCAAGGTCGGTCTGTTAGCTTAGCTCGTAGCTTAGCTTCTCAGCTTAGCTGCTTGTAACGATCCAAAAACGCAATTTTGGACGGTTAAAATGGATTTTAAAGAGAAAAGAGAAGGGGGGGGGGGGTGTCAGTGAAGAACACCAGAGTTGAGCCTTTTGTCATCCAGTGTCTTCAGTAGAAAGAGACACAAAAAAATGAAAGCCAATAAATTAAAATGAGGTAGAAATTTTAATTTATCATGCAATTAATTGATTTATTGTTTATCGTGACAGGTCTAATCCCAGATGAGAATAAGATTATTTGAGTTGCTTTTCTGTAGAGCTCTCTGGATAAGCTCAGTTCTCTTAACAGACACACTGTTGAAGATGACAGCGGACTGACAGCCATCTCTCCCACACAGCTTTAACATCAGCCTTGTGTTTAATGCGATGAGTATAATGCAACATACTGCTGTTCAGACTACTGTCCTTTGATTCAAACAGCTCATTATAGCAAGCAGTGACCACAACAGGCCCCAAAAAAATCAAATCAAACATTAAAGCAAAGAGAAACACCCATACAGCATCCTATAATCCATTTTGATTAATAAAATCCCATCAAAACAAACATTTGTGTTGAGAAGGATTTTGATAGCTCATTAAATCTTTAACCCCCAAAAAGTTGTATTTTCAGAATATTCTCGAGGGCTACTGTTTAATTATCTTTAATCAGCTGAGAGGATTTTTTAATCTACTTCGAGATGTCTGCTGCTTGTCTGGAGTCACGTCGTACAGCTTGGATCAGAAAAACTTGCACTCGTGCACATAAAAGGGCTTCAGACCTCCACATTTCCAAAATGCTTTGAGGCCGTTAAAGGCCTGAATTTAGTGCTTTCTGTTTGAAATCAGATAGCTAAAAAACATCATTTTTAACAATAGGTCTGAACAGCCTCATTCTCATAGCAGTATATGTTTTGGAGTGTGTTTCGGTGATCTCACAGTTGCTGTAGGCTGTGTCGGGGGGTCAACACTGACGAAGGGGTTCGGAATCCATCAGGACTTTCACTCATGGGGCTCCGAACTTTGCTCTGTGTAAGACAACACTTTACTCTGTTTGTTCACAGTTTACAGCACGTGCATGATGTGGAAATTCTATTAATAAAAACATTTTAATATGCAACATGCAATATGTTTAGATCTATTTTAAAGGCCTTTTATTTAAACAGTTCTTGTTTCCTCACACAGGCGACTTTAAGCAGGTTCCACAACTCCCTCTGTCGTCTCTCCTGCAGACTCATCAGGACTTGTTCGCTCTCGGCCATCTTCAGCACCACCCCCTCCACCTTTGGCAGCAGCTCCATCACACGTTGACGGCACACTGCCGTTTTACTGAGGAGCCACAGAATTAAAATGATGTTACTGAGCTGCGAACAGGAATATCTGCAGCTGTGGATTGTGCATCAATTAAAATAAAATATGAGTAGGTTAGTTTAATAAATATATATTATTAAAGCTTTGTGAATTTTAACAGCCTTGTAGAAAATACAATAATTGTTTTTTTCAAATTAAATGTTTTGTAATTTTTTTTTAATTTGTGCTTTATATCTGTTATATTGGTGTATTGTTTGCATTTATCTTGTGGGTTTATTGTTTATAATTCTGTACAGCACTTTGAGCTGTTTTTAGTTTGAAGGGTTAGGACTGTCACAATAACAAATTTTGCTGGGCAGTTGATTGTCTCAGAAATTATTACAATGAACAATAATATTGTTTGAAATTTGCCCATAATAAGTAATTATGGTCAAATTTAAGAAGAAATGTTGGTTAATTTGTTTTGAGTGTAGTACCTTTTTTGACCACTGGATGGCAGTATAAGACTGTTGGAACCAAAGGATGGATAGTGAAGGAGCGAGCAGTGTGTCTCTAAGAAAAATGGGAGGGAGGCCACTTGACGTGACATGGGTTGTTTCTCTTTCCTTGTTTCCAGTTCTCAAAATGGCAGACGCTTGGTGTGGTTTGAGCTCTTTAGCATAGCATTTTTCACACAAAGCTTTTAATAAAAAATCAGTAAACAAGTTCTCAGCTTCTTTTTGAAGAGAAAAACAACTTTTTACACGAAGGCACGGGTTTCAACAATGAATTTTGACAAGACGGATGTTTTTACCCCCCAAGGTCGGCCTGTTAGCTTAGCTCGTAGCTTAGCTGCTTTTAACGATCCACAAACGCGATTTTGGACGGTTAAAACAGATTTTAAAGAAAAAAGAGAAAGGGAGGGGTCAGTGAAGAGCACCGGAGTTGAGGCTTTTGTCATCCAGTGTCTTCAGCAGAAAGAGAGACACGAAGAAAAGATAAAGCCGATAAATGAAATAAATGACAATTTTCATTTATCATGCGATTAATTCATTTATTGTCTATTGCGACAGGCCTATGAAGGGTGCTTTATAAATAAAATTGGTTGATTGATTCATTCATTATTTGTGGCCCTGAAGCCCCTACCTGGTCTATCAGTTTTTTAAAAGGCGGCAGGCGACATGAATTCCTCCAAGGAATGCTAAGAGTTTAATTCTTTTCTGTGTTCGATACAAGTAAAAAGCAAACTTTGTATTTAAAAGGAGTTATTGGCTTCGTTGAACAGAATGCATTTTTATGTCAAAGAACGTCATGTGTGTCTTAAGAGTACCTGAGGTGTGTGTAGAAATCTTTGAGCTTCCTCTCGTAAAACTGCACAGCCTGAAACACCAGACGCACTGCCTCCTGACTGTCTCCTGGACACCTTTGGTCTGAGGAAGGGAAACCAGAGGAGATGGGAGATTTAGTTTCACGTGCGCGACACCACGAGTGCAGAAACACCAATAGCAAAAGCTCAGACCTCTGGGTTTCTCTCGGAGTTTGCGGAACAGCTCCATGGCTTTTCCTTCACTGAGGATCAAAATGAGGAAGTGAGCCGAGTCTGAGCTTAAAGAGCAGTTAGTTCTGTATGTTCTGGCTTTGGTTCAGACTTACAGGGTGTCCAAGGCCTCTCCGCTCCTAAACGGTTGCCTCTGCACATCCACGATGTCAGGCTGCAGCCTCATCATCTCCTCTTCAAGTTCACTCACCTTGGGCTTGAAACCCACACAAACATTTTAGTCTCTTTTAAAAGAAACTCCGCAAATAAAAGCACAAATTCAAAACCCACTCAGGCCTACCTGACCACAGCTGACAGCAGTTTGCTCCATTTCTCTCCATACAGCCAGAAGTTTCTCTGAGGCTAAAACATTAAAGGACTTTAGTCAGAAGCACACCTTGTTGTTCTTCATAGATAGTTCTCTATACATCCATTTCTTTGGTTAGCTGTTTCATTAATTGTGACTGAACTGCCTGGGAAATGACAGCTTTAGTAGTTGTAGCTTAAACTGTTTGCTATCGTGTACCGATCCCCGTGGCTGTCTGCTCCTGATATTTGTCCATGTCGATGTGAAGGCTGGTGATGAAGAAGTCCAGCTTGGCTATGAGCCTTTGGTACATGGACACCATCTCGTTCTTCTGTTTGGACAGCGAAGAGTTGTGTCTCAGCAGGCTCATGCTGAAGAGAGAAGGTTAGGTTTCATCAAACAGTTTTGTATGTGGAGGAGGTTAGTGTGAGCTTTGTTGTTAGTCCTACATGGCAGCTTTCTGGCCTTGCTGCAGTCGTTGCCAGTCTTCCTTCAGAGTGCGGATGGTGTGCCACGCCTGGCCACACGTCCTCCTCAGGTGGCTGTAAGGCAGGACATGCTTTGGGTCGGTTTCTATGGGAAACACAGACAGAAACACGGTGGGACAACAAGCTACTGGTGTTTCCGGATATCAGTTACAAGCTTAGCATTCCATTTATGCCTGCATTTTAGATTAAGATTATCTTTCCTGTCAGCAGTTGGAGATAAAAAGCATATTTTACCAGCTCACTGACATGAGCATAAAAACATGACATTTTCTAGCATTTACGTTTGTGGAAAAACTGAAGATTTGTGCTTACGGACAAAGCGAATATTTTCAGGAAGTGTCCGAGGAGCAAACTGAGGTTCATATGTGCAGGAGGAGCAATCAAACAGGAAGACCAGGGGCAGATCTGTTCGACGTCCGTCTACCTCCTACAGACACAGATTAAACTGCTGTGACTCCCATTCAGAAGGTAAATATTTACAAAGTTGTTTACAGAGTGGATGCAAGACGTGATTACTGAGTAATTGATGGCGCACTGTGTGGCCAGAGCATGAGGCTCCAAGGCTAGCCCCGCCTCCAGCAGCAGCTCCTGATTGGCTGCAGGAATGTTGGTGTCTTTTTCTATTCTCAGCTGCAGGTCCGCCACCGTCTCATCATCTGTGACCGCGTACGTCAGGATTTTAGCAGACATCATGTTCAGAACATGAACCAGCTGAAAGCATGAGATCAGAGCAGTTTCGTGTTTTTAGTTTCCCAAAAACCAGAGGAAACACAAACTTTTATGTTCCCTCAAACTTAAAATTTTAAAAAGTTTGACTCAATCAAGAGCTTTAAACAAACTAGAAAACAAGTGAAAGCTGAGTGCTGAATTACTTCGTTAAAATTAGTTAAGAAGTTGAAGCTGAGCTGTTAAGAGAAGTTAAAAGTAGCACATGGCTTATTAAAAGTAGTTAAATATTGCAAAAAGTTACCTAAAAGCTAAAAGTAAAATAGTAGTAGCTAAAAGTATCAAAAGTGATAACTGAAAGACTTAAAAGCGGAAAGTAGCAAAAGACTAGCTAAAGTTAGCAAAAAGGGTAGCAAATAGTAAAAGCAGCATAAAAAAATAGAGCATTAACAGGACAAAGTCTGCAGAGGCAGGTAGATTACAGACAGGAAAACAATAGTGTGAATGCTGATAAATGTGTTTAAAACCCAGTCAAGTTCAATCAAGAGATTATTCTTTTCCTGTTAACCTTGAGCTCCAGTATGAACCCGAGCTGGGAGAAGCAGTCGTTGGGTGTAGCCATGCTGTCTTTGCCTCTTTCCTTAGGAGACCACTTCAACATCAGCTGCAGCCACCTCTCCAACTTTTCTAACAAAAGACTGTCAAACAGCAGTTGTCACGTTAGATAATGAGCATGCCGCACAATGGTTTGTGTGTTAGTAATGTATAAAATCACCTGTTGAGGTTGTTGGGCTGGGGCAGATGTTTGGAGAACCGAACTTCTCCAGAGAGATCCTCGTAAACAACAATGTCATTGTCCTGCTTCAGCCTGACTTTGTTGTGCCTAACAGGATACACATAAATGATGAAAATTTACTACAAGCAGATTGTTTTTGTATCTTTAGCGGCGTTTCATATCTTTATTGTCTCCTGCAATGATTAGGAGGTATTTTCCTCTGCAGAAATGATGTCTCTTGAGCTTCACATCATTCATCACATTCAGGAGGAATCAGGGAGGGACATTGATGTTGGCCCAATCCACATATCCTGCAATTCATTCGAAACTCTTGTTTATTTTCATTCAGTGTGAGCTCAAGCTCAACAATCATATACAAACATGTACCTTTAATGAAGCTTATCAGAGTTTAACACGAGAAAATATTGTTCAACTTTGTAATTTATGATTGTAGCAGAATCATGACAAGATTATGCAAGCTAATGGAAAAGTAAAGTTTCTCATTACTTCTAGAATCTTGACCTATCATTATTGTGTGTGTTTGGAAAAAAAACACTACGTGTATGAAATAAAAGCTCAATATGAGCAATTTTCCTGTGATTTTCAATAGGAACATTGTTAAATATGGGCAAAACAAACAAACAAACGATCACAATAGGCAGTCAATTTGCAGTTTAACACATTAATGCCAGACACGTGAATTTCTAAAATCTGGACCGACCAGGGAACGGGCTGCCATGTTGGTAAGAAAGGACGAAATCCTGTGATGCACTCAAACACCAACGTGCCGAAACTCCAGTAGTCCACAGTGACCGTGTACTTCTGCCTCTCTATGAGCTCTGGAGCCTGGAAGAAGATGAAGAGCAGCAGATTCAGCAGACAGGAAATCAGGTGCAGAAGTGTTCACTTTAATCACTTACTAAGTACTGCAGAGTTCCCACGAAGGATGTGCAAAGGCTGCTTTGGTCCAACTCCTTAGCATAGCCAAGATCTATGATCTTGTGGATGAGCTAAGATTATGAAAGAGCAAAAACATGTCTAAAGTTTGTTTGTATCTTTTCAAAGAGACAAGTAACAAGGTCTATATCACAAAATAACATTTCTGAGTACTTGAATGTATATGTTTAGGCGTCTAACATAAGTTATTAAAACAGAACCAATAAAAAAATCTGGCACTTTGATTTAGAGTTTTGAAATTTCAGATTTGAACAGGGTTTTCTCCAAGTTCAAAGCAGGTTTTTACCTCCTTCATCTTTATATACCCCCTCAAATCTTCACCACTCTTCTAATAAAGATGCACCAAAAAACACCAAATAACCCCAATTCTCTTTAGCAGTTAAATACTTTACTTAAGGAAGAACTTAATCATGTGTAAATGTACATTGTATATCGTGTTTTATGCCATGAATAGGATTTAAAGGTATACATTGCAATGTCATGAAGACAAGACAAAAAACATAAAACAAAACACAACATTTTTCTCATATCAGTCGTTAAATTAAAAAAATTGTAAATTGTAAGCACCATTAACGACCATTTGCCATCTACTGTGTGGTTTGTTTACCTATGAAAAGAGCCAAAGTAGGTCAAACCTTAAACTTACTAGCTATATTTGTTTACCTACACAAGCCATGGCCAGCCAAATGTACATCAAACATGTAGCTTCCATGTGGTTGTCAGCAGATTCAGCCAAAGGCTTTGTTTACATCGAGTGCATGCCTGCATTTCAATATTACATTTAATATATGTGGAAAAGTACTAAAGTAAACTCTTTCAAACTACTTTTGTTTGATTTCATATTTTACAGTGACTACCTTTAACTTCTTAGCCTGTGTTAAACAGAAACATGGTTCTAGATTTTGGGTTTTGTCATATGTAAACAAAAATAAGAAAATATTTTACCTTAAAAACTTATAATTCAGAGTTTAAATCATATTTACTTCATTTCTTGTATTCAAGGAATACAAGTGTTAGAGCTAAACTGTAAACTTAAAGCAAACAAGTTTGTTGGGCTCAGTTTCAATAAACTCAGCGGATTGCTTATAAACATGAATATTACCTCTTTAATGAGTCTGACCACAGTTATATAACATTTTCCTGTTTTCTTGTTTTAGGCTGGAATATGACATGCAATAAATTGTTGCATAATAGACAAAATGACGAGCAAGGCCTTTACACAAACCAGCTTCAAACTGCGAGTTCAACAGTTTTCATCGCTCGTGGCGGGGAAGTAGACCTAAGATGGAAGGGAAGAAGACAGCAAACATTGTATAAAGCAAAGGTCTATTGGGTAAAACAAAAACATTATGGCCAGTCCACAAGGAGAAACAACATGGATCTTGCAATAAAGCAGAGAAGTAGAGCATAATAAGTACAAGGTGAGGTGATTACTGAATGAATACAGCTGGGTGATTGCAGATGAACAGCAGGTCAGAGCAGCTGAGGGAAAACTGTGGCTATAAAAGCTTTTTAAAAAAAAAGCCCGATTAAACGTGAAACACAAAACACAAATGGTTAAGAAAATCTAATAAGACTTAAAACATTCTGAAAAATACACTGAAGTCCTACTGAAAACATATACACATTAACCAAACAAGAAAAACCCTCAAACTCTGACAGTTTTCCACATTAAATATTCTAAAAAAGGATAAACATGCGTCTGAAATTGTTTTTTCCTTCATAACCCACAGACAGCAGAAGCAAAAGGCCTTTGTGGTGGTTTGTATTTCACGGGGTTTTGATCTCACCCTCTTCTCTCCCTGCTGCAGCACAATGTTTTCTGGTTTCAGGTCTCTGTGGATGATCCTCTTGCTGTGGAGGTAGGTTAAAGCCGAAGCTGAAAGACGGATAAGAAGAGGCAGAAAAGAAAGCTGCAGATAACGCAAGTCGTTTGATGCAGTACACTGTTTAAACGTTTATGGGAAATATCTGAACGCACAGTTCAACAACGCAAACCTGACTGAAATTCATGACTCGTTCTGCTGTAGTAAAAGGTTATTTCTGCATTTAAATAATCAATAACTGATTAAAAACTCTGACTAAACAGATGTATTGCTGTGACAGAGGTGCCTGATATTTAATAGGTACTTATCCGAGTGTCTAACAGTAACAAAGTGTTTATTATTGGTAGAAATAAAATACAGTAACTACACCTGTTTTCAATAATTAAATATTTTTCTTGTTATTCCTCTATAAAGACAAATTTAAAGAAAATGAAGCAAATCCCACTTCTCCCCCTTCACTTTTTGAACAGTTGTGTTTCCTTAAATTAGATTAATTTATGTTATTAAAGGTGCTTCACTTCCTTTTGACCATATCTGGATTACTGATGATACAGCGTAAGTGTGTGACACAAGTGCTACATATGATGATATAAAGATTATTAGGATGAGTCTCATTTCACCTTTTAACCCTACCCCTAGGTTTTTAACATCTATATAAGAAGGTAGGAGTGTCTCAATTCTTTTTGTAATGTAAGGGGAGGGTAAAGGGGTGAGGCTGCCTGTCCCTTTAGGGAGAGATTGTACAGAAGTATGCTTTAATGACAATTACAAGAGGCCGTTTTTGAGCGAAACTGTAGCATTTCTGCTGTGACACAGCTGTTTGTATACCCGACACAGTCATTCTCTGAAAATGAAGCATTTTGAATTAGTGTGGGAGCAACCCAACCTCATCCTCAGCTCCAAACAAACATTTGTGCATTCACCATTGTTAATGTAACGGTTTTCATGCTCGAGACTGACGTGTCATTTAAAATGAGTTATTGTAAATTAGTTAGCACCTGCTGCACCTGTGTGCAGCCCACGCTGCAGGAGAAACTTCCTCCTGCAGCTCCTCCTCCCTCCTCCTCTGTCGATCTCTGTTCTTCAGCAGAGAAGTGGGCGTGGCTGAGATAATGACATTCTGTGCTCTTTTAGAGCGTTTAGAGTTTAGAAACATTGTTTAGAATGTTGCAAGAGTGGGAAGGGTTTAAAAACACATTTACTTATATTTATATATACAGTAGTCCCTCGCTACTTTGCTGTTCGTTTATCGCAAACTCGCTCTATCGCAGTTTTTCAAAATAAGATTGGATATGACAAACAATTGGCGTGGAATTTTTATTTAAAATAAATTATTTAGCCCCTGCTGCACCTTTGTGCAGCCCTTAACGCAGGATAAACTTCCTGCTGCAGCTGATCGGCTGTTCTCTGTGGAGAGCTGAGAAGTGGGCGTGGCCAAGAACGCTTGCAGGTGACAAAGAGCAGATGAGGAAGGGAGCTGAAATCATGACATGCTGTGCACTTTTAGAACATTTAGAGTTTAGAAACATTGTTTAGAATATTGCAAGAGCGTAGGAAGTGTTTAAAATGCATATATATATATATATATATATATATATATATATATATATATATATATATATATATACTAAAATAAACTACTACTTACTACTTGTACTACTATTCCTACTTTGCGGTTTTTCACTTATCGCGGGACTGCAGGGTACGGATCCTCTGTGATAAATGAGGAACGACTGTACAGAAATCACAGCACCAGCTAGTGACCTGGAATGGAAACTACCGCAGATTGAACGAGCACAGCATTATATCACATGTGTGTGACATCCATCCATCCATCCATCCATCCATCCATTATCTTTTTACCCGCTTCTTCCATTTTGGGTCACGGGGGTCGCCGGTGCCCATGTCCAGCAATCACTGTGCGAGGGGCGGGGTACACCCTGTGGACGGGTCGCAAGTCCATCACAGGGAATGTGTGTGACATTTGCACAGTAAATGTCAGAAAAATGCAAATGTTTTGAAGGATTGTTTACATGTAAACAGGGCCTAAATGAAGGAGTGTGAGCAAAGAAATGTACAAACTTTTTTCAATAAATATATCACAGCTACTGTAATGTCTAGTTCTGTGTATTGGGATATATTACATTTAGCTTTATTGTTGGTTTTCTTTAATAAGTATAACTAAGTAACAATCTGTTGTAAAATCTGATAATGTAAATAGAATTTGGGACAGTTTTTATTGCCGTGATTTAAAAAAAAAAACTCTTATAAATTCAAATATAAAGCCAAGTGATGGGGCGTCCTCAGCATTTAATGAGAGAAGTGAAACTCTTAAATACCAGTAGGTGTACTGAGTGACTGCCCCTAGCGGTCATTTGGTGGTATTGCATCTTTTCATTGGTCTCTCAGTCCTAACAGCAACCTGTTTTATAAACAATTTGTTGCAAACACATTTACTCCACCGCAGCTACATGAGATGTTTATCTGCAAGAAATCGAAGGAAAAAAAATATTTCGAGCATTTTTTTTAAGACCATTAAGTTTTGTGTACGTTTATTTTCATGAAAATATCCTTTAATCTGGTGTGGCTGAAGTCTTGCAGGTGTTGTCAGTGTACAAACAGAAACTCTGAAGTCACTGTGTTTATGCGTCAACGGGTTACAAATGTGTGTGTGAGCTGGCAAATGCCATTCAGCGAAGCAGATCTTATTGCTTTTAGTTACCTGAGTGTGTATCTGAGCTTGTGGTGGTGGGCCGTGTTGGTGCCCTCACTCATGACGATCAAAGAGGGACCAGTCATTATCAGGAAATGTTCATCAGCTCACGACAGGAAAGGAGTTTGTGTGTAAATCTCACTTTACTCCCACGTGTAGCTTTGTTTTGATCCACATTATATGTCGCTTTCTCTAACCTGTTTATAGGAGAGGCGCAGTTTGTGAGTTGGTATAGTTTTCAACAAACAGCGTGAGTATCCGACTGCTGACGTAAACCTCAGTATGAGTGGGAGCGATCACTGCAGTGACTAAGCAGCTGAGGGGTTTCGGGTCACGGATGACGTCACGCTACTCCTCACCACCAGGAACTTTTCCTCCTTACTACAGGAAACTAATCACTCTGCCAGCTCATCCAGTTACTTAATAATTAAACCATAATGCTCACATATCTCAAACATTTTGGATAGTCAAGTCGAAGCTGTTAATCGAACCAAATACTCACAAATGTCACATAACAGAATCAGAATGGATCCTTCCCTCATTCCACAGCAGTTCTCCAGGACGTTCAGATACTGCAGAAATACAAACTCAAGATCTGAGAAACATTAACCATGTAAAGAAGGCATCACACGTGGCCATGGTTTTTAATTCTGTCCTATTGCTGAAGTTTTTAACATCTGTGCTTTTTGGTTCTCCAATTAAACTACAGGTACTTATAATGCATTTTAGTTTTCAATATAAGAAATCTACTGTATAAGAGGCAACCAAACAGTTTTATTAGGTCTTTTGCAACATGGTAGCAGTTTTAATAAATTTAAGTTGTTTTGCAAAATGGAAAAAATTGTGCTAAAATTATAAATATTTTGTATAGAGGACCAAAAAGCATTCTAACAGGTCAGATTAGCATTGAAATCTGATGTTTGACAAAATACAATATGGAAGTATTGATAAATAGATACATAAAACAAATTATGGTAAATTGACTGTACTTGTATAGCACTTTTCTATCTGATCAAGATACTTAAAGCTCTTTACAACACAAACTGCACCCTCATTTACCCATTCATACATCACTCTACTACATCTATACAAAGACTAATCAGTGCTTTATCACATTCATACACTGATGGGACACACACTGGAGGCAATTAGAGGTTCAGTCTTGCCCGGGGACACTTCGGCATGTGACTGCTGGTGGAATCGAATGCCCAACTTTTGCATTGGAGGTTGACTGCTCTAACCACTCAGCCACAGAGTTGTGACTCCAACTATTGCAGTCATTTAACAAAAAGTCTCATTAACCGTTATATTATTTTCATCCATTTATGATGTTTTTATGAGTTTGTAACAGTTTAGGCCTAACGTGCCACTGGAAATTGTTTTAAAGTTAATTTGATTGCAGTAGATCTTCTCAAGATCCCCCTGACTTGGTGTTTTATGACCCCACACTCAACAAACGAACAACAAACTGGTGATTTTTTTTTTTTTTTTTTTTTTAGAAATTAAACAAGAAGTAAAATTAAATGCATGCAACTACATGAAAAAGTTTGAAGTTGAAATAGACAAAACAAGCTTTATAACAAGTCAATGACCGATGACAACAACAGCACATTCAAAGTGATTCATGAACAGAAGCTCAACCAGCAGAAGAGAATGATGCATTTAAAGGTTTGGAGAGCTTACAAATGGCTCTATTTGTCCCAAGTCCACCCTGATTGGTTTTCAAACATCTTTAAGGCTTTGAAAAGAATCTTAATGATATTTTAGATTGTGATTTTTTTTTTCTGCAGCTGACAGCAGGCTTCATGCTAAGCAGTGTTGCCAGACTGGGCGGTTTACCACCAATTGGGCGGTTTTCATTCTGATTTTGCAGGTAAAAATTGTTTTGGGAGGGTGGGGATAATTTGGGCGGATTTAGAGTTAGATCGGCAGTTTTTGAGTTAACCTACACATTTCAAACAATCATTCATCATTACTTCATATCAAAGCTCCCCTGACCTTTCTCCATCACTGATTGGCTATTGTCATCTGTCAGGGCGTTCACAACAGAGTACTGGTGAGGCAGTTTTAGTGGACACCTCGTTGGGTGGGCTGACCCGTTGCAGTGGTACGTCGGAGTGGCCGCCATATTGGATGTGGCAGAACTACTGGTCAACTGATATAAGGAAATGGACTGAACTTTATAAAGCACCGTTCTACAAAATGTTTTATGTTAATGCCTGTCGTTTAAACACACTAATATATTTGGGAAAACAAACAGGCATCAAAGACAACATTTATAACTTTAAAAGTGATTATTTAAAATGTTACTCCTTAAATGTTTAGGTTAAAGGTAAGAACTAAACCAACATATTATTTTGAGTGTTTACAGCTACTAATGTGTGTAACACTATTACTGTGGCAATAAATATAGAAACATTTATATTGAACATTTAATCTGTGTCTATAATAACCAATCCTGAAATGTGACGTGTGGATTTTCTGAATAAAGAGAACTATCATTCACATTTAACTGATTTCAATTAATCTCATCTATGAACAAATAAACATCAATGTATCTTTACAGGGGGTGGGGGGTATTGTGTGTGTGTGTGTTCTAACAGTAAATATAACAATATTGGACGGATATAAGATTGGGCGGGTTTTTGTGTGATGGTGCGGTTTTTAACAGACTGTTGGGCTGGAAAACCTCGACTCTATCTGGCAACACTGATGCTAAGTGAGTTAAAAGAATAAACACAAAGCAGTTATCTGCTTGCTGTTCACAAACTGAGGCACAATCCAGAAGAACAGAAAGATATGCTGTCTTGCATGTCTGTTTTTAGTTTTTTGATGCTGGTATGCATGCATCTAGTGAGAGAGACAGTTCTTAAAACTGCCATAAAAGACTAATTATTAGAATAATAAGTTTCATGGTAATTCAGTGGGATTTAGCCCTTTATACCAAAACTGTTATTGTCTGAGCTGAAGACAAACCCTCTTACCTTCCTCAAATCTCCACCCTGGCAGTACTCCATGGCCAACAGGGGCAGATCATTGGTGGCCACCAGTTTCTCCATCCCCTCAGGAACTTCTCGAGCTGCGACCACGTTAACATGGTCCAACCTGCAAGTACAAATCAGACAGTGAATTCTAACTTTATCCTAATGCAAAACGTCTCGCAAGAAGGCTCCCCATTTTCTTTTGCACCTGAACAGTTTTCGGCCTCATTGAGTCCGTGTCACTCTTAGCACATGTGTTATGATGGAAACTTCATGATTTGTTTGTCCAAGCTGGAGCTTAAATCTTTCTGCCACGAAAAATGCAAGAAACGTCCAAAGAAAACGTGTGTTAATCTTGTGAGATCATTATGAGGAAAACTTGAGGCTCTCGTTGCTGCAAAAACTGCTTGAACAAAAATGCAAAGCGACGGTTCTGAATCTTATGGAAATAATTTATTTACCGGTACATATTGTATTTTAACACGCTTACAATATTATGCTTTACCATTGTGAACAACTGTTGGAGGACTAGAGAGAAAATTATCAGTTTTTTTAATTTCTTACTTATTTTAAAGACAGAGATTAAATCTGCTTCAGAATGCGGAATAAACAAGTTTTCATAGTTTGGCTCGAACTTTCAGCAGATGAAAGAAATACGCAATGCAAACTTCATAAACACATTATAGCTAATAAACAAAGCAAGGTGTTTTGAAGTGTATGCATAAATGTGTGTTAAGAAGCTATAATTATACAACGTTAAGCTGCCATGTCCCCTGCCCTGTGGTGTTTCCACGAGTTCAGCGTGGGTGAACGGGACGGTTGCGGTTCTAACCATGTCTGTTCAAACACAACACACTTGTTAAAGTGAAATGAAGAAAAATGTTTTTGCATTCATGTTTGCACCATGAAATGGGGAAAACCACACACACACACACCTCGCCGCTCACAAAACATCACAACCCACACGAGCTGGCACACAACTGCAGGGATCTGACACCTCAACAGAAACTGTTAACAGATGTGTTTGGGTATAAAAATGCCCACTTAGGTAAAGAAAAATGAGGAGGTGGACCATTATGTCGCTAGAAATAGCCAAAGTTACTAAAATAACCCAAACGCCCACGCTGCCCTAATTTTTTAAATGTGGGATTTGTACTGTTAAGGAAAACAAACTTTGTCGTTGTTTTTGGAGAAAACTTGAGAAACAGATGGGTTCATAAATGTCAAATGTCAAACCCACAAACAACAAAGTCGTCCTGGGATGCAGCGTGTTGGCTGACAAAATGTCAGACCGGCCTCACAAAACAGAAGGAGCCTAAACTCAGGTCTCTCTTGTAAATGAGTCCTCGTGGCTCAATGGGACTAACCTGTTTAAATAAAGGTTGAATGAATGAAAAAAAAAACTGCATCAAGCAGGCGAATTTAAGATTTGTGTTATAATGAACGTCAAAATAACTCGTTCTTACTGATATATACAGAATAGTTTTAACTAACTGGCATATATGTGGAATAAAATATAAGAAGGAGGAAAAACACGTAACATAAAATCACAATAAGAAAAAAACACCAGAAAAAAAGTAGAAATTTAAAGTTACAACATAAAACACAAAATCATCATTTACAAAAAATATATATGTATATAGATCTTTTTTCTATAATAGTATTTCTTTGTTTTAGTTCAATTCATTTCATTTATTTGGTTTATACCTTTTTATTTTTATTTATTTTTGCCACGTGTTTTTTTCTTTCCTTGCAAGCTGTTCAACATTCTTCTCTGAAGCTTTTGTTTTGAACAGATCAGGTTTAAGACAAAAGTTTAATTATGATCCCAAAACCTCTGAGTCTGACGGACATGGAGACTGAAATGGGGAAAAAAACAATAAACTTATTTGGAAACCAATTAAATCTACCGCTCAGTTCACCAGATGTCAATTCTTTAACCCATATTACATCAGTAAAAGAATTAAACTTTGGTTTACCTTACGTATTTTCTTGCTTCACGGGACAATTTTCCACCTCAAAGTGTTCATAATCAGACTTTTCTGTACATTCAAGGTGAAATAATTATTAGATTCAGTGACCTGAGCATAAACCTGACTGGCTGCAAGAAAATGCCATGGTTATAAGCTTTGGTAAAAATGGAAATAAGCATACCAAGTAAATTAAAGATGTCAATGGATAACAAGAAATGTCAAGAGATACAAATAAAACCTTCATCCCATTAATGTGTGTAACTGAAACCGACCTCTTCATGATCTGGATCTCTAGACACCATCTCTCTTTGTTCCTCTCACTCAGCTCCTGGCGACACTGCTTTATAGCAATCTGCTCTTCTGTGTCCTAAAAACATAAAAACAAACTCAGCTTTGCATCATTTCTCACAATTTCTGTGGACGTTATCTGTCAAGATCAGAGTTTTCCAGTGTTTAGATTAGTGTTTGTATTTTCTTTGTGTTAAGTTTGTTTCCTCATCTATTCCCAGTCTCGTCTAACCCAGGTGTGTACACTTCCACATCAGCCCGTGTCTATTTATTCAGTCGGTTTTCGTTCGCTAACTAGCTGAGCATTATTGGCTCTCATGCCATGTTCTGATTCTTCTAGCGCCTCCTTTAGTTTCCTTGTGCTTCCCTGTCAGAGTTTGCTTCCACATCAGCCTTTCGGTTTTTAAGTAAAGTTTAGTTTTTTCTTTAAATCTCAAGTGAAGTTTGCTTTCTTGGGTCCTAAACCTCAGGAAACATGACACCATAGTTTAAGGATCATTTTTCAAAACTTTGCAGAAGAACAAAAGCTGGGTATTCTGCGTTAAGGTCATTTTTTTGTGGTAAAGTTATTTTAATGTAATTTTACTCGTGTTTTTACTAAAATTAACAACAAACAAATCAATGCATCTAAAGCGAACAGTGAAAAAAATCACGTCACGTCAAAATGTCTTCATTCAGTCTTAGCAAATCATCTGGTGGTGAAAGAGGAATACCTCAAAAGCAGGTCAGAGTCAGCGACAGAACAAAAGTAAGTCAACAGTGGTTTTACAGTACGACCCTATTTTTATTTTAATCACTTTGTATTGTTGTATATTGTTGTCTGTACTGTATGTTGTCTAAAACAGGTCTCTCTTGAAAATCAGTCCTCATGACTCAATGAGACTACCTGTATAAATAAAGGTTAAATAAAATAAAGGTATAATGTAAGAAAAAGCTTACCCTAATTGTTTTTTAGTATTAATATTAGTTTGCACCAGACAGTGAGTTTGGTTTCCTAAGACTTTTTTACCGGTAGGTAGCTAGTTGATATGCTAGTAATGTTTAGCATCACCTAGCTAGCAGCAACTCCATTTGTAATTATCTAATAAACCAGATAATGAGTTGATCTTTTTACCTCTACCTATCAGTGGCTGTAATTCAACTTTTATGTAGAAAACTGGTCCAAAATGCTGCATAAACCAATAACCTCACTGAGTTCAAACTGCCCCAGGCAGAGCGTGTGTTTTGTGAATACATTTTTTTTTTCAACCTTTATTTAGACAGGTTCATCCCATTGAGCCTCTGGCACTCATTATATGTATGGATTAACAAAGAGTGATGACAACAGTGGACAACAACGACAACAACACACAGTCATAAAAGAGGCATACAGATTTAAATATATTTATTTATTTTTACAAATCAAAACAAAATAACAACCAAAAGGACAGTCAAAAGGAAAAGTAGAAAAAAAACCCCAGCTAGATTATAAGGTTATAAGATTATAAGATTTTGACTTATTGGTAAAACAGCATATATACCACCTACAAAATGACTGATATAAGACAAACAGACACTTTTGTTCCAAAATAAAGGCAATTAAATTCCTCTTTTAAAGCAAGATTCTTTGTCGGGCTTGTACCTTTTGGTGAACAAAGCACAGAAAACAAAGAGCATAAATATCCTATTTCCACAGTTAAAGCCCCACCCAGCTCCATCTGACTACCTGTTTCACATCAAAGAAATGGTACTAACCCAAGTCCCACCACTCTGCTCAGTTAATTAAATCAGGATCCACCCAGAACCCACTGACCTAATTATAACCCGCAGTATTGTCATGAATGCAGAAAGACAGGAAATGTTCTATATAGGAAGTTTATTTGTGTCAGCAGTGGTGCCAGCAAGTCCTCACCAGTAAAGCATTTTTCCATTCCCTTGTAAATTCAGGCTGCAGTGGTTAATAATATAAAGCACTGGGACTGTACTGTGACAGCTTATCAGACCATCTTAAACAGTTTTCTAAAGTTTTGTAAACGGATTAGGAACTAAATTAGGATTTGATACTGAGCCTAAAATAAAGATTTTATGCACTGCACATAATGGCATCATAACACGTGAACAAATGTTTGTAAAAAATGTTTTACTGACACAGCTACAGATAACGATAAACTCTTGGGTGTTTTCCGACTCCTCGTTGCGCACTACGTCCACATGAAGACACCGCCTGGTTCTGTTTGTCCTGAAAGTGATGATGCCGAGTAATCCAGCTGAAGTACAGCTGAGGAAAAGGGTCAACTAACCAGGAGTGTTCATGCTCCCATGCTGTCATAATCTTGTCATGCTGTGACTTAGCAGGACGTGATGAGAATTAAAAATAAATAATAATTCAGCTGCACTCAGTTTCCTGGACTGACGTCATTCATTCTCTCAGTTTGATGCAGGTGAAAACCCTAAAACAAGGTTTTTCAAAACAGATCCGTTTCCTTTTTGGAGTCAAAGCAGAACACGCCTGGGTTCAGTTTTGTGTTCCCACTATTCATTTTCTTGCAAATAAATCCTGATTGGATAGGAACATCAATAAGGATTGTCATCCTGCAGACCTGTCACCTCCCAGGAAGAAGGTCACAGGATGTGGCCTTGTGATGGACTTATGACCAGTCCAGGGAGTTCACTACCACTCATAATGACTGCCAAACACCAGCTCCCCAAGATTCAGAAATAAGAAGCAGGCAAAGAAAATGGATGGATGGATGGATGGATGAATGGATGGATGGATGGATGGATGGATGGATGGATGGATTAAATGCCATCCCCACACCACCAGAACTTAGCAGATTTCTGCTAAGTTCTTCTTTGTGTTACAGAATCCATAATGCTGTAATATCCTGTAATCACTGTCTGTCCACTGTAACACTGTTGGCAAGGTCATTAAGAATACATTTGTTATCAAGGTCAAGGCTCTTTATTGTCATTCACACTTCATGTGGTACACGAGGTGGAACGAAATTGTATCCAGGGTCCCAGTTACATCCAACAATAGCAAAAGTATAAAGTGTAAAAAGAAACAATAAATAAGGATATTATATGTTTTATGGTGCAAGTTTAGCAAGACATTAGAAGTAAATTGTACTGAGTTGTGCCTGACAGCTTACTCGTTATAAGTATTGGACGTTAAACTCGAAAGAAAATGCTAATACTGGCACGTATTTTAAAATCTCCCAGGCTGAAGCATATTGTGAGATTTGCTTTCACAATGTCACATGTTTTGTTTTATAAAAAAAATATTTTTTAGACATTTAGATTTCTATTCAGCTGTTTTATTCATAATGCCAAATTACAACAAAATGTGATTTTTAAGGCACTTCACAAAAAGAAAAAATAAGTAATTGTGCTGAGGTTCTAAAGAAAATGCTAGTTTAAAACTTTTTTTTGTTTTGTTTTACACCTTTCAAACTCTTACAACTTCTGTGACTTTTTTTAAACAACCAAAATTGTCCTAAATATACAAGAAAATAATAATAATACAATATTACACATAGAATAACAGAGCATTTTCTACCTTATTTTGCCATCTTGTAACGTTCCCAAAGCCTCCGGTGCCGAGTCGCTCCTTCAGTTCCCACAGACCACAGCTTTGTGACTGTTGCAAAGGAACTCGATTCATGGTCTCCTCACCTACAACCAGAACAACAACACAAGTCAACAGTTTGTGGAGGTACAGTGCAGCAAGTACAGCATCAGGTCTCTTTAGGCACGTGTTCATGAGATCCTCATATCCAATCTGAAATTTAGGCTCGTTCTTTGTGACCAAACTGCTCCAGCTCCGTCAAGTTGGATGGGTACCACTAGTGTAGAATAAAATCCTTCCAAAAAGTCTCAAATGGATGGAAATCTGGGTTTTAAATGCTAAATTGATTCCCCTTAGACCAGGGATCTGCAACCTTTACAATAAAGAGCCATTTTTGCCACTTTGTTCACTAATTATAATGTCCAGATCCGCAAAACCTGCTACAACTGCGTACTGTCAACTGGTGGCCTGTGGACCACTACAAGTTTGTTGGAGATGGCTTTTCCGGCCAGTGGAGATGATATTATAAAATGAAAAATGTCTTATTATTAACATTTATTAATATTTTTACATTTAGGTACAAAAGAAAAGACCAGATTCATTTAAAGAAAGATAAGATATAATTTTAACAATTTTATAAAAATTAAAATACTGAACTCTGTGAGTTCTCTTAATTGTTGAATAATTAAGTATCCTACTTAAAACCTAAAGTTCCAGGCAGTATAAAATTAGGCCAGTTTGATGGATGTCAATAACATTTTTAAAGAAAAATAAATACTTTTGTTTACTTTGACTTTGTTTTTTGTGTTTTATTCTTAGTGTTATCAAAATTACTCACCATATTCCTTCTCAGCAGCTTGTCTTAAAGATATTCCAAAACATTTTGGTGGTTTTGAGAGAAAGATCAAACTGTGAGACTGGAAGTTGTCTAAACAAAGTGGCTAACAAACTACTAGTATGGTGTAGTCCACATGTTTTACACCTTGTACTTGTACTGTTCTTCACATGCTGTATTTGAAAATGACAGGAAATCTGCTAAAACTAGCCATTTTCATTGTTGGTAGTAATTTAAAGAAAATTCAGTTTTATTTTAATTTTGGTCAAAGCCTGAAAGAGCCGCCGCAGAGGAACCAAAGAGTCACATGTGGCCCCAGAGCCGCAGGTTGCAGACCCCTGCCTTTAGCAGGGTGTTCAGGGTTATTGTCCTGCTGGAATGTAAACCTCCATCCCAGTTTCAAAGGTCCGGACAGTTCCAACACGTGTCCCTCAGGAATTACCAAAACACCTCCCACCATGCTGATAAAAAAATATCCCCGCATCATGATGCTGTCACCTCCATGCTTGACTGTGAGGATGCTGTTCTCACCATGGTGTAAGATGTTCGGTTTACACCAGACATGATATGATCCAGTCCCATAAAAGCTATGTAAAGCTCATTGTGACAAGTAGGTGTAATTTATTGTTGATTAAATAAATTAATTAATCAATTACATAATATTCTACAAAAAAAATTAAAACCCCCAACAGTTTCTGCATTTGTTCATTTTCTGCAACAACTAATGACTTCATTTATTACCGAATAACTATATCAACTTGGATTGTAAACCATTTTTAGGATAACAAGTAAAGCTAAAGGACTGAATGATCGATTAGCAAACAATCTAGAGACTCACTTCATGATTTGTCTGAAAATAAAACACTTTTGGTGCTTTTAAATTGATAAAACATGCTGAAGAGTGAATATAGAAACGTCTCTCGTCATAAAATCAAAGAATACTTGAACTCTAAAAAAGTATTTTCACAAGACAAAAAGTAAATGTATGATTGGAGTTAGACACGTTAATAATGACAATAACAATAAAAAATGTAAAATCTCTAATAACACTAAGCTGAATAAGCCAGTCCAGTTTATAAACAGGCCTCTTTTTATTCAGTGAACATTTTAATTCATGAGGCCTGTTCAGGGGATTAACATGCAGCTTTCAGACTTTAAACTTGACATTACTGTGACATTAATCTGCTCCTAACAGACGTGTACACTGAAACACAAATTATATGAAATGTTTGCACCTTTTTAACCTGTTATTACAGCGTACTGCGGCCGTTTTCTTACTTTATTTACACATTTACATATTTGCGCTTCTGCTGAAGCATAACTTCAGCTCAGTCTTACCTTTAACTTTGTAAGCAGCCTTATCTCACTGGTGATTTACTTTAAATGCCACTGAGAGTATCTGGTCAAACCGAGTTAAACTTTTAGCTCTTTAGTTATTTTGGCGATAACAAAAGTCGTCCACTTCCTGAAACTCACATTTCCTGTAAACCTGAAGAGGCTCCGCCCACATGGAGCTGTTTACCGCCTTTTTTGTTGAGCGCCACAAACCAAAAAACATTTTTTAAGCATTTTATGAACCCATTCCTAAAGCTATCTTAAGTTTGTTTGATTGCAGATGCTCTGGCTCATTCACCCATTTTTCCCTATTTGCCACAATTATTGATTGAAAATGTTTTTTTTTT